TCTTTCTTTGCCGTATTCACTCTTTCTTCATCCATAATTATCAACAATCCGGCTCGGTGGACCATTTTATGTTATGAAAACATTTAATCTATTGCTGGTTCTCCAGAATATTGAACACAAACATTTCATCAATCTTCAATTTCTCATCATATTAATCAATCTGTTTTACGTTCTACCTCTACACTCTACACTCTACACTCCCAATCTGTTTACTGTAAAAATAATTACTCTAAAGACACTCCCAATTACAAAACATAACAATAAAAGGTATTAATTAGCTAAATATCAGTAATATGTGATTTGCACAATTGCTCTGCCGCCATTATTTAGAATCTCAAGGCAGAGTGACAAGCTTAACAGATTAGTCATTAGTGCTAAAAAACAACAACAAGAATATCACCTATTGTGATGCGTTCGTGGGAATATGGTGCTGCGCAGCGCAAAGTTCCCCAACAGAAGGAAAACCAATGTAATCTTCTTTATTCGACAAGAAGCAGAAATTTGAAGTTCAGGCTGGCAGTTTTTAATTTTTTCGAAAATCAGAGGCTGGATTGTTTTAATTTGTCCATTTATTATTAGTGTGTAAGCAGTGCTATTGCCCTCTAGGGGGGTTGTCAGCAAAGTGAGTGAGGCATCCTTTATTTGCCGAAAAGTTTGAAAATTCACCGAAAAAGCAGCCCTAGATGCCAAAAAACTTTTTTCAAGGCGACCGATTTTGAGGCTCGTGTTCTTATAAAATTGTTCTTATAAAGAAAAAATGCTTTTTAAAGGATCGTTGGTTTAAAAAGTGCCGTCGGAACGAAATTCATATTTGGGGGGGCTGCCCATTGTTTTCCTTATCATTCTGTACACTGTTATTAAGGAAACATACTAAACTTTGACAATTTTTGGGGGCTACAGCCCCCAGCCTCCCCCGGTTCGACGAGCCTGACTTGCCTTTTGTGCAGGGAAATTCGAAATTTTTACCCCTTCTTAGGGCATATTTGAGGGCCTCTGTGCAGGAGCATGGTTTTGAATCACATTTCATCCCGTCGTCAATAACATTTTTAATTATTCTTGGTTGAAATATTTGCGGCTTTCGTCTTTATTCGTGTGGCGTGCTGAGGAATACGTGAATTCTATCAAGCGATTATATATCCGCCAAAGCGCGCAGACTTATTGTTTCGTGTAAATAGCGGTTTTGTTAAATCCGTGGTCATCTATATGGCCATTTGTGAGTAGGCAATGCAATTTCTTTTGTGGTCAAGATAAGATAGTGGGATGTATTCATTAATACATTTTGAGGCTTTGGATATACGTCAAAAGAAGAAGCTCCTTCACAATGAACACATGCCGCGTCAAGTTCTGTCCAACTTGAAGTGCTCCTGCAAAGCGTCGTCCTTGGAGCTTGAACATATTAAAGTGTCCTAAGATTCTGGAGGTCTGATTGTGAAACTCACGAACAGGATTAATACTGACAAACTGTTCTTAAAGTTGCGGGAAATAGGCTTTGTGTTTCAATCGGTGTTTTTGTTTTCAAAGTGGCTTTTCTCGAATTATAAGCTGTTGAGATATTGTGCAGATGTATATAGGTGTCACGTTGTACGGCAAAGCTGCAATTTAGTTTACTAAAAAATAGAGAAGGTCAGGCGCTTTAACTGTCAGGGCCTATGCCACGAATTTCAAGGTGGAGGGGTCATGAATTTAGTGCTTCAAAATAGAGCCTCTTTGTAAATATTTTTGCTTACCAAAAAAGTGACCTACGCATTCATAAACACACGACAAAGCTGCAAGCTAGTCCACTGAAAGTATAGAGGAGGTCAGAATATTTTACTTTGGCAGTCAGTTGATACAGAAAGAAAGTAGCAAGAGAGCCAGTGATTGGACAAAGTGAATTCAACGTTCTCCATTTTAACTAAGCATTCATAAACACAAACGTTTTTGATATTCCACCAAAAACTCATCAATCTCGTTATCTTGCAGATTCTTTATGATACGGGCTCATAAACTGGGGATTTTTTTTATAAAAAATAAGCTCAGGATTGCACATTTTCTTAATCATTTTTTCCCGAAGGTCCTGAATTTCTGAATTTTTGTCCTCCTGGTGCTCAATTTTTTTATCTGGGTTCTTATCAAAATAATACGTGTAGACGAGATTTGCGTTTTAGCTTTTCAATTGTAAAAAATACTCAACCCAGATATCTTTAGTATTATTTTAAAATTAATTTACATAAACGCATGAAATAAATGACATTGTAATGGCAAAAAACAAAGCATTTAGAAGGAAAAATCCTTAAGCCCGCAACATCCCACAGTAGCCCGCAGCATCCCGCAGCAGCCGCCATGCATCCGAAGAAACGTTTGGCTCCAAACCTCCTTCAAATGTATAAAACATATTTAATCCTGTAAACTTTGCTGTTGGCAAGGCACTCCATATGTTGTCTGGTTTTGCCCCCTTGTTTCAGAGTCCTATGCGTTGTGCTGTTGTCATGCCACATGTTGAACCGTTGAGCCAGCGTTAAACCTTCTGCTAAATGGTGGATTTGTTACTGGTGGTTACTGTTCTAGTGACAGAGGCGTCATTATCTCAGGTCTCTGATCTCTTTTCATGCTCAGTTTTATCTCAAATGAAATTAACTAAGTCAATTTGATCTACGTGAAAACAAAGATTATCCTAAAACCACAATTTCTTTCTGTTATAATGTCAACTGGTTGCATTTGATAACGTTGACGAATGGACTTAAAGTGCGGCATATTAGACCCTTTCCGGTTTCAGCATTGTGATCCAGACTTTTTGAAACTAATCGATACCGTCACAGAAAGAGGTGGACTCGCTGCGGACTACGGCCTCGTACTCAGTCTTTTGCAACCATCCATAAGGAGGCACACGCGTGATCTTAGGATTTTCAGAAATTCCCTTGTTTTCTACACAACAGTTTAGGTATATAGACAGAAAGACCTCTAACCCAAAAGCATTTTGAACTAGAATAAAATGTCTGACATTAATTATAAAAAGTAAAAAATTAAACAATAAATACAAAAAGTTAATCTAATGACAAACGTTGATAGCTTTTTTATTTCGCATTTAACTGTAGAAGAGTATTCAAGCAAGTGCAAAATGTTCTGCCGGTAGATTCAGTAAAAAATGAAATGTCTTCCTTTGAATCAATTATGTCTTAGTTTTGTGCCTAATTTTGACCCCTAAAAATGAGTTGAGAATATATAATACACGTTTTCGTCCGCTTAGTTGCCTCATGTACTATACTGCAACACTGAAAATGTGCGTAACCCCCTTGAAAAGTTTTATTTATTGATATTATTGACAACCTTTGATTAAGTTTACATAGTAATAACCTCTTTTGTTAGTCGTGTTTTCAAATACGTTATAAGCACATTTGGTCGTCTGCATATGCTATTAAATATTGACCAATTGGAATGGATTCCATTGTGTCTAGGGCAAATAAATCCAGAACACATCCTATGTCATAATCCCTTGAGCCAAACATAACCGCCGCGGGAAGGAGTTTGTTTCTAAATTGAGATCAGGGTCAAACTCCAATGGATTGCAAACCCAGAGCGAGGCATTCTGGGCTAGAGGCTAATGCAGAGAAAGAAGGAAATGGAGGCCGCACGCCACATTTCGCTGTGTCGTTTTTGTCGAGGAGTTTTTTTGTAATAGAATCGCACAAAAGAATTTTATTTTTTATTGCAACCCTCCGTCTTGCAGACAAAAAGCGTACACATAGAAGTTAATCATTATTACATATGCTAAGAGACTCAAAAGGGGGTTCCATCGTGTTTTAAATGTATAGAGTACCGAAGTATGACCTCATCAAAAATCTATTTTCAGAATTTCTAAAATTTGGGAACACAATCTGAAAGAACGGCATAAAATACCTCTTAATATGAAAAATTAGTTAGGTATGTTGCGAATTGGGCGAGAAATTGTTGCAAATAGGTGCAGAATGTTATTGGCTCGATTTTTGTTCTGCTGTCCCGACAATAATTTGCTCCACTACCGCTACCTGCGCTCGTTGTTAGATGCTAGCAGGTTACCGTATTTAAGCATCAATCAAGCGAAGAATATCATGTTTTTATCTCAAGCAGATGCTACTTGTTGACTATTTTCGAGGTGTAGGTTGTTTTGTTCGGAAGACGGTTTTTCGGAAGTCTCAATTGGTAGATCACAAATTCTACAAAAAACAGTGATTTTTTTCGGTGAAATTTGCCACAACTAGAATCAAAATCATTCCACGAATTTCTTGGCAGAGTTTCTTTCGCAATTATTTATCCTTGAAAATGACGAGAAAGAATGTTCTTGAAGACTTACAGGGTGCTCTTTTAGGCCTGCCCTTGCCCTTTGGTGGCATTTCTGAGGTTGAATTTTGAATTTGACTAAATCAGAAAAAAACACGTAACCAAAATTTGAACCTGATTACTTTGTATCAGTCGACGATATGAAGTAGTAATTGGTGAACATACCCCCGTCATCCAACATAACTTGTGGTTGGTTTAAGAGATAAGGAAAAATAATTTGCCGAGGCTATGTGCAATCGTATCTAAAGTTCAACCAAATTGGATAAATATTCGCAAAGTCTGTTAAGAGTTCTTGATAAGTACATTAAATGTAATTTTCTTTCTTTGTAATACGTAATTGAATTCACATGGCGGCCTGGTCATTCAAGAGTGAAATCGCTCCTGCTCAGCGGCTCCATTCAGTATTTCCATTGTAATGGATCCTGGGTGTTTTTCGTGATTTTATCAATATTTATATGTGAATTTACAGAAAGTGCCAATTTTTACTAAACACCTAGACTCTCCCAACGTCTGTTTTTTTAATAATCCGCAAAGAGAGTCCACTAAATATGGCGTCACGTTCTGAGCAGTCTTCGCTAAATCTTAGTGCTTCTTGGTGACTTAGGGATTAAGAAACATTCAGTTTTTGATAACTTTTTTGTTTAAAGGAAAAATTAAATTCAGATTTTCACGCATCATCATTAACTGAATGTTTACTTTTGTAGATTGTGTCTACATTGAAAGCCAGCGACCTGATGTCCCCTATTTCATTTGTTCCATCCGAGACATAAGAAAGGTGAGTCACTTTATCGAGGATGTTGTTGTTGCAAACAGGAAATCCAGCTTTTAAAATGCGTCTGTCGTCGGTATTGCCATTAAATTGTAAATATACTCTGAAGAGGTCCTTTCAAATGGTCCTAATTACAAAATGATCCTAAGAAAAAGTCTTTAGTTTATGGAGGCGGTTAGTGGTGTCTTGAAGTTCTTGAGTGAGCAGTGTGTTAGAGGGAGAGTGGAAGTTGTTGGGTTGCAAGTTTTCTTTTCTAGAGTTTGTTTAATTTTACAGAAACAAATTTAAGAAGCATCCAATAAATGCGAAGAATTTCTATGAAATGCACCTGAGAAGGCAATGCATACAGCTTTTTTTCATATTAAACAAGCCACCCTCACCCTTGCCTTGTACTTACACGGAAAAGTTCTTTTTAAAAGTAATAAGTTCTTTCTACTAGTAATTTAGGTGCGGGAATATTATCACATTAATGGAATCAACGACTTACAAGTTATCAAGTTACTTTATAACTACATTAAGTTTCACCCGTTGTTTGGTTTTATTTGGATTTTTTTCAATCCAGTCGGTGATTTGTTTTGATTTAATATTGCCTGATTAAATTTTTTCAAACTGGTTTTTTCTTTATGAAACAACAAACACCAAACACCAACAGCATTTCTAGGTAGGGCTGGGTTCAAACAGATTCTAGAACGATTTTCGCAACAATGGCCTACCTTAAAAAACATTCCCCCGTGATTTCTGAGTTCGTCGCAAAATTCACAATTCATCTGTTGTGACCTTTGTTTAGTGACATGTTACTTAAATATACTTGATCCTTCGATTGATCCTTCGTTTTTGGACCGATCAAATTCTTCATCTAACTAACATCAAGAGTAGACAGTCTGGAATTTGGCTATGACGTATTTTCTTTGAGTAAAGATATCATTTTGTCGAAGAATTAGGAAACTTCAGTACTGGACAGTCAGAAAAAATTAAGAAACTTCAATACTCGAAGCAAAAATATCAAGGAACCATTAAATCGTGATAAAACTGAAAACAACGGAATTTTGTTAAATTCATGAACATGATTGCCCTGTTGGCCTAGAACTTAAGACACAAAGGATAAAAATGTACTTCCAACATCTAAATAAAGCATCAGAACGGAAGCGTGAAATTCCCAGAACATTAAGAAACTGGAGTACTCAACATCGACCTTTGTTTCTCATAAAATATGAGTGTATTCCATTCCTAGTGAAAATCTGTATATATTTGACGTCTACCATTGACGTGATAAAGATTTATTGCTAAATCACTGTGTTAAGTCAACACGTTGGGGGCACTGCAATACGGAAGCTATTCTGAATTACCCTCGACCCCAGTTTTCACGGAACCTTTGTTTTTCCTAAACCCTTGTTTTATCTGGACCCATTCTTTTCTTGGATTACTGTTTTATCTGAACTTCTGTTCTACCCGAGCACCAGTTTCTCTGAACCCCTTTCACCTGAACCCCCTTTGTATCATCAGAGTCCCCGATTTATCTGAACCCCTTTCACCTGAACCCCCTTTCACCTGTACCCCTAATTTATCTGCACGCCTACCAAAACCAGCATTTTCTTTGCCCTGATTTTGAATGAAACGGAACCGGATTACCAAAGCCGTCTTTTTTCAACTCGTGAAGATCTGAGACTTTTCTTCCAAATCCTTTTTTAATCTTTATGTGATTAAGCTTTGTAGAAGCAAGTCTTTTTTTATTTTGAAGTGCGTTTATAAAATCCAGTCTTCCTCATCTAATCTTATGCATTTGTTTTGACTTCAGAGCAAGAGGGATCATGTATTTGTGAATGTCACGTGGTTTTACCGACCTTGCGAGGTCCCGTTATCTGTCTATCAGCTCTTGATTCACGACAGAAATAACGAAAACGGTATGAAGCTTAATATTTTCGCAGTTCTTTTCATATTTACTGCTTTTCAGCTGCACTTGTTCTTATTTCAAACACCCTCTCCTGTAGTGATTGTATCTCTCGCGCTCCACATTCATTCACAAATCTCTCCCCACCCCCACACCCCGACTTAATGCACTTTGAACTCTTGTAATGAATTTTGCAGCCATGTTTACTCCAACCTTTTCAGGTCCTGCGTCGCACATTTTCCCATTTCGCAGATCTCTGCATACAAAAGCATTCTCGAGTCTCGTTATGATACCTCTCCTTTTTTATATTTATGAACAATTCTCGGTCAAACAGCTTTCCAACTGTTCTCACTCTTTCTCTTGCAAGGATATTTTTAGCCATTCTCCTTATTGCTTCCGATAGTAGTTTTGTAGACTTACCGATCCGTAAATTAGTATTCCCTTTTCCCAAGGTTCCGACCATGTTCTTGAAGATCCGGCAGTAAAGGAACGAGAACTTTTCATTTCTGACTCGGTGGATACCTATCCTATATTAGCTTTGCGGTAAGTGAATCTATTTTCTATTAGGTCATCCTACAATCATTGGCAAAAAGGAATTACATCTGTCTCAAAGGGAAAATACATCTGCAGCTAAACCAGCTTTTTAAATATATCATTTTTTATATTTCCTCAGTTAGTCTTGCTTCTAGTAGCATAACAACTTTAATTATAATCAAGGATTCTACTTTAAATTTGGTCTTTAGGTTACGATATACATTAATCTCCTCCACAACTGTTGAATGATATCGAATTTATAAATGATTAAACATAAACTTCCAAATCATTCTTTGGCGGGAATATTTCGCATCACAAAGACTAGTCTGGTCATATTTTCGCGGGTGAATAAAGAAGACGCTTTTCTAACGCGCAGTTGGAAGTATAGATCATTTATCTATTTCGAGCGAGCTAGATGGAAAGAAAAAGCATCGGAAATTTTCATTATTTTCCGGTCAAAAGACCAAAGAGCTTCCGTGAGATAATTCCCACACGATCCTGAAGCAATTTTTGTCTCCCCTCATCCCATGTTTTTTGATGTTATAAGGTGTTGCTACAAAGGGATTTCGACTGTAACATAACAAGAATTAAATCGTCAGGTTTTTTATTAAGGGTTGGGCGCAAAGATATAAAAATTACAACAAACTTGCAAAGTATATAATATATTTTGATTTTTGTCTCTCTACAAATACGTTGCAACTGCATTTTTCCCTTCTGAATTTATTTCACTTTTCATCTGTAAACAGGGGACACATCAACATTCTTCCGTTCTCTGAAGTCAAACAAAGATTAAAGGAATACACAGAAGAAGAAGATAATTGGTTCTACATTTTGAGATACAATCCGGAGTCGAGGTGAGCTTTAGCTATCTTATAGGAACGACTTTCGGTGTTGATTCGTTCCTATATGATTCCTTTCACTTTCCATCGTTGATGTTTGTTCCAGTCTTATTTAACGTGCCACATTCGGTACTCAAAATCCATAAGGAGATTAAAAGACCTCTTAAAGTAGTTCCTCAAATGCTTCAAAGTCAACGCGGGGTACATTTCGTAAACCAAGGTTTCCTGGCCCCTTCAAAAGAGCTCCAGCTTGGTAACCAAAAGGCTGACTTGGTCATCAAATGTTACATCTTTCTGCAGATTACATATACAGAAAGATTCAAGGATACTAAGAATCATCAGGAATAGTTTTTTCCAGCTTCTTCGACAAAATATCGAGAAAAAGAGTTTTTCTGAGGATTTTATCGCCCATTATTATTTCTGATCAGTTTGGGAGTAATTTGGTTGCTGAAAAATGCCAATGCGGTTCTCGTGTAAACAGCGATCAGTGTAAAGTATGACGCAAGGGGTGGTTTAGTGATGAAGAGGTAGGATACATAGGTACCAATGTCATGGCGTCTGAAGAGGCGCCTATGCAAAAACGAGGAAGAATGACACGAGGAGAACGAGCACTTCTTTCTAGATCTCCAGGCTTACGAATAACAATGCCTGGCGATTCATTCCGCACTTTGGGCATTGATAGTAAATCCTTCTGAGGTTTTGGCGATAAAGCTTATTGGTCTGAACAAAGCAAGATTATCTGTTTTATTAAGAAATCCATCGAGTGGGAGACTGTAGATCCCTGCGTGTCACTGTGGCCGCTTTGTATGGATCAGGCACAACCTTGTTGGCAGGTATCACCGCAAGATCTTGTTTTTGTCGTGAAAAACCAAAGGATTAGTTTCAAACGAGTTCGTTATGCAAATTGTTTTTATCCGTCGCCTGTTGAAATTGAATCGTGGCCTTGAAAACTCGGCATCGGGTCGATGATTGTTGGGATATCAGCTGCGGACGAGCTGGGAAGGCGCGAATAGTAGAGTGTGGGTTATATATAGGCAGGAATTCTCGATTAGGCATGACGTTGTGCAAAATTTCCTGTCTGAAGAATGTCCAAAACAAAAATGCTATAATTACTGGAGTACATATTTTCAACTGCAAAACCGATCACCCTCGAGCGCTAAGGGTGCGGTCAGTTATTGTGCTCTTGTCTTGCTTTTTTAATCCTTCAAACCGCAGTAGTATTATTTGTCCTTCTTTCTATCATTTTCTTTTGTGCCGCTTTGTTGCGTGATTTACGCTTATTACGTCACCGCTGGTTTTTCATGCTTATCACTGAGTTGAATTGTTAATGACTGTTTGTTGACTATTGTCTTTCTCTGTTCAAACAGACGACGATAGGATTATCGTGATTTTGTCAATCATCTCAAATTATCTTGGTCTTCTCGTTGTGTTTTTTGCTGAATCCACGTTGGATAAACATACCTGTGTACAGTTCTTTGTTTCTCAATTGTTTGTCTGACGTAAGCAAATCTGTTTGACGTGAAATTCTTAAGTTGTCAATAGAAAGCCTATTCCTGTTTTCTAAGCATGTTTACTTTTTATAGACGCTTGGCAAACACAAAGGGAGAAATACGTGTTGGCTCAAATCATCAGGTAACTGAAAATGATTTGTCAATATGGAAATAGGTTTACTTTAAGCTTCAACCGATTTCTATACATTTTGTGAACGTAGATGATTCCAAAAGCCATTTTTGCTCATTTGTAGTAATTGTCCATTAAGTCCCTTGTCACTACCCTTGACGTCGATCATACTTGCAACCATTGATGATCAGTACCTGGTTGCTTTCAAAAACCTTTAAATCAGCTCATGTTGCTATTGCATGGCAATTAACTAATTAACTAAATTAACTAATAAACAATCGATAGTAGAATAATTTTTTATAGTTGAATGATTTAGTAGAATTTATGCACGGTTAAATTTTTTTTTGGGGTTCCCCCGTCCGAGTTTTCCCTTCATCTTTTGTACAAATGTAAATGTTTTTACACTTATAAGGATATCTTTGATACAACATTATTTTAAAAGCCTCAAGCTTATAATTAGATTTTTTCATGTCCAGCAAAACTCGTTAACTCAATCGTTACAATTGGATTTCAAAAATTATCTGTCCAGGTTTTACGATTCAATTGTTATCTCTTTGGTTTTTAATTGTTTTCTGAAAATGCGGAAAGAAAAACATGTTTATCAGATGAATCTTGTACTCCAGTTAAAGAAAGTAAGGTCATTTGTTCCTACGTGTATAGTGTAATTATCCACAATGAGTTTCTAATCTAATACTTGTGGTTTTCTGCTCAAGGTAAAGCTGCCCAGATGCGTACCACTAAAACAGCGTGCACAAAAAGGGATGGTGAGAAAGTGCCCCGAACAGTTGGTGAGTAGAACCTTTTAATTCTTTTATCTCTCAGTGCAGGGATTTCAGTCTCTAATCAACTTTACGAAATCAGATACTTATTATTATCTAGATTGAAACCAAAAACTTTGCGTAATTGAACTTTATCTCGTTCATATTGTGCTAGCTTCAAAAAGAAGATTTCATTGTGGCGATTAATTGGCAGACGCCATTTTCATTTCGAAATTATGCGTTACAGCGTTGTTAATCCAGTCCAGAAATGCTTGAAATGCCTTGCTTTTAATCTTCAAATCCTTTCTAGGTCTGGGCACCTCAGATTGAAGATTCCGATCTAATGATGTTCTTAAGAGCTTCCAGGTTAGTCACGTTGGTATTTTCTGCTTCAACGAGACTAAACACTTTTTTATAAGAAACAGGTTATAAGAAACGGTAGGCTCAATTTTTCGAAAGTTAAGAAACAACCCTACCCAAATTGAAAAATAAGCTAAAAAACTGTTTTAATTTGCAGTTTTGATTTTCCAAGTTAACACTCGAAACAGTCTTGACATTGAACATCACTGTATATTGCAACACTGCAATTGACATGCAGTTTGCACTCATTCTCAGGAAAATTGCACACTCGAGAAGTTTCGGATTAAAAATTTGTTTTGACTTCAACTTGACATTGATGAAGTTCAATGAGCTTAACTGTTTACAGATCTCAACAGAGTTAGTTTTTCTAGGAAAACAAAATTCCTTGATCTGTTAGTTTATCTCTAAATGTGAGTGAACTATATATTTACTTTACCTTGACAGCACATTTTAAAAATTAATTACCTTACAAATTTAAGAAACATGTAAGAAACTTTTGATAACAAATTGGCCAGAAAATTTAAGAAATTTCCTACCAGTACCGGATCTTAGTTTTTTATAACAAAAATACGTGTATTGGTTCATAACCTTAAATTATCCGCTCTTTACTTCTACATAAAATAAGAATTTTATGTGGTTGAGTCACAAATAGTTTTGATATTGTAGTTTGAAAATATCTATTGACTTTATTTTATAGTGTACTTAAAGTAGCTTTATAATAATTTCGTAATGATTCACATTTTAATAAAGATTGGAAGTTGATTTCCAACCATGTATTGGAGACATTTTTAGTGTGTGTTTCAAAGATCTGTATTCAAATATTTGTTTTCTGTTACAGGAGCATATTCTCCTTCTCTGGTTATGTGGATGATGATGGCTCGATTGATCGCGCATTAAATGTTATATCTGAAGAGTCGACCACAGTTCATTGCCTAAATATGGTAAGCCTATAGCAACAATCAGAAAGGTCTGATGGCCGAAAAATTTCACTCATTTGCAAATACACGAAAATTGAAGGACTGAAGTTTGCATCTTGAACTATTCTCAATCAGAAAATAAATTTTCGTTGATCATAGGCAGAAACCAAACTTTTTTGCTCGCAAACTATCTTCAAACTTTTCACAAGTCTCATCCCCGGACCAGAAACTTCTCCCAGCAACACATTGCCTTTGACGCTAAATTTCTGCCAGTCTGTAACTCGTACCCCCTTCCCATTAATGTCCGACCCTCCTTTAAAATTTTCATTCACGCTTCTTTTTTCTAAACCTTGCTGAGAGAGAGGCCTTGTTTTAAGTAATTTGAAATGAAATATTACGTAAATTCTCAAATAAGAAAAGATTTAGTCAGAGATATCACGGCAATCCAGGAAGCTTCACATCCTTTCGCCTGCAACCTCTTTGGCTCAATGAGTAATTGAAAGCAGGGATTAACTCGGGATTTACCGACTTCCTATTTAACAGTTCTTTATCTGAATTCCCTAGCCTTCACCGTTAAAGCCAGGCCATCTTCTTTTTTGGCAAACTTCATGCTTTCACAGGGCTTCGATATGTCACACCCTTGAAATCTTTTGTAAACCTAATCACATCTTTTCTGTTTGACCTTTAAACAGCTGATATCTTCCAGACATAAGTAGCTTTATGAATTTGCGATCATTCAAAACTTTATTCATTCAACAACAGTTCCAATCAATTGTCTGTTAACATTCTTCTTAAATTGTCTTGAAAATCATCCTTGTTCCTTTTATGTCTTAAGAATCATCCTTCACATTTAGCTCCACAAAAACAAATACGATGTCTCAAGGGCCCTCCAGGCGTTAATACGATCTCCATTTGCCAAGACAAACGCACGCAAATGGAGTGAAGACGAAAGGGTAAGTCGTTTCATGTCCTAGCTCCCTGTAGAAGAGGCATCTTGAATTTTTCGCCTTTTTACATTCGAAAAAGTTTGGCTGTTTTTAGGTGTTAATTCCTTGTCAACCCATGGTACTGCTACTTTTTGATCGTGACAGACTTCGCTGACATTCAGTATCAGAATCAGATCATAATCGAGTTCAATTTATAAAAATGTCACGTTCATATTTGAGAAAAATTTGGGCATATTACAATGGAAAATGAAATCACGTGTTTTGTGTATTTCTAAGCAAGCAAAAATAGTTCTTTGTTACCATCCTAGGCTAAATCAACTTTTATTTTGTTTGCGATATTTGATGGGTGGTTAACCAAACATTTGATAGAAATTTCAGGTAATTTTCCTTCAGGCAGTTAATTTGTCTTACCTCAGAATCAGATTTTGTTGTAATATATAGGTTTTGATTTACAGATTTCTATCACGATTATATTTGCATTTAAATTGTTACAATCCTTTTTCTCCTGTAGAAACTTTTTGTACGTGGTCTGCGGCAGTATGGCAAGAATTTCAACAAGATAAAACGAGAGTTGTTGTCTGACAGGAAAACGGTTAGTTTTGTGAAAGAATTGCAGGCTTTTTATTTTCCAATGTTTGGATTTTTTCTCTTTACGACCCAGTTGAGTTGTGGTCAACCCATTTTCAACAGCCAAGTAATCGCGAAATCCTTGGGTTATGAAACAACGTTTTTCATTATCGATGTAATTAATTCTTACAATGCCTGAATTGCAAACAACTTTCTTAATTTCATCACTAAATAGCGAAAATCTCGAAAAATTTCGTGCAGTCTTTGGAGAGTATTGTTTCACAATATTGCTTAAGTTAGTGCTGATTTTCTTGACCTTGATTTCACAATGCTGACTTGATATGGGTTGTATATATTATGAGATCTCATTCAAGGACTTTATATTTGCACCACTAATCAAAGGAAATAATTAAATGACTTTTTTTTGCAGAGTGAGTTAGTTCATTATTACTACGTCTGGAAAAAGACACCCACGGCGATCAATTCGAGGCCGCATAAACGAGGCAGGCGGCACAGTGTCCTCTGCAGGAAAACGAGGTCTACTAAAAACAAAACAACACCTGCTAGTGAATTTTTAGACTTAAGCTCGTGTAGCGAGGATGAGCCGGACAGCGAGGATAGCGAACGGGACTTGAGCTTGTATGCTTGTAGACATTGCTACAATACCAAATCACCTAACTGGCATCATGTTGGCAAAGAGAAACTACTTGTTTGCAAGGAATGCCGAGAATACTTCAAGAAATACGGTCGCATGCGGCCGATAGAATGCCGGACAGAACCCCCGTCGTACATTTTTAAAGCGGCATTTGAAAATCATAACGATAATTTATCGAATTCTGGTCGCATGCGTACTCGGAGATCTGCCACGCCTATTTTCACTGCTAATGGAAGTGTGAGGACAAAAATACTACATGAAATTCAAGAAGGTATGACAGAGATCTTGATCTAGACCAGTTTCTTTCCGTGCTTTTTCGCAATTTTTGCTTGTGATATTGTCCCACTAATTTAGTTGAAATAATGTTGTCCCATTATTTAGAACGTGGATCTTGTTATTAATGCTTTAAGAAAATCCTTTCAGTGGAAATCTATATAGGTTTTATTTTGGTTGTTTGAGTTGGACCTTATTTCCTTGTTGCTTAGGCCCTTCTACGACTTTTCATTGTGCTTTTTATTGTCCTTTTGGTATGCCATCTTATTTTATCTCGTCTCTTCACGCCATGTGTACTTTTCTTGCAGCACGTTTAACCCGTTTAAAAAAGGCTGATTCGCCGTCAACGAACAGCTCAGACAGCTCGAGCTCTTTCAAAGAAAACAGCAGCACGGTAAATTGCGTTTTTTGCCATCCACCATTTACAATTGATTGCTATTTTTGATCTATCTCTGTTTGCAGAAAAGAGTTATTCCGATTTGCTGTCAGCCAATTAAAATCTATACGTTTGTTGTTTATTCCAGGAGCTCGTGAGGAAACGAAATCAAGACTCAGAATCGGATGGTGCAGATGAAATCGAAGAAGCTGATGTTGTGGATGAGGAGATTCAGAACGAGGAAAGCGAGGCTGAAGATGAGATTGAGGCGAAACGCGGAAGATTTGAGGTGTGTGTTTCCCTATTTACGGTGTCGGGGTTTTTTTTGTAAATCGAGATTTTATATTGAGCCTTTGGGAAATGAGGACTTTACACTCGATGTTTTGAAATTTCAATATAAGACCTTCGTAGCACGCGATGTTTCAATCTTTCGTCTGTTGAAACTTATTGGCTCTTTTGCATTTTTCGATATGTCTTGTATACATCTATTTCTGCAATCTTGAAAAGCATTTCATCAGGATAATGTCGTGTTATATGCAGCGTGTTTCAAAATTTAATCGTATCCCCACTTGTTTACAGGACGATGCAGATAAATGCGAGGATGAGGAAGAGGAGGAAGAAGATGAGTATGACGAAACCGAGTCTCCTGGTGACCTCGAAACAACGAGTAGCGAGGCTATGGAGCAGATGGAGACAAATCTCGATTCGATGATCGAAGAGGGACAAGCAAACCAACAAGTAGCTCAGGACAAAGAAGAGGGTCCTGATGACGATTCTACCAAGAAAGAAGAGGTGTCAATGGAGGAGGAAGTTGCTTCTGAGGAGGAGCTTCCAGATGTCCTGGATGATCCCCGTTTGGTTGAAAAAATAACAAAGAGTTTCAAGAGAACAAGCGATGATGATAAGAATGCGTGCGCACGGTGTGGGCTGGTCTACGTCGTTAAAAGACCGAAGAAAGAGAAGCAAGGATCAAAGGTAAGCATGTGCTTCGTGGATCACAATGTTTTTCGCGTTCTGTCCCGAGCTTTTTGAGTGCACAATAAGCCATCCTTGTTTAGGTTTCAAGATTGTTCTCATGGATATACAGTTCGATCCTGAAGTTACTTCCTGGATAATTCTGTTCGTAAATGTAAAAGTTGTCAGGAAAAAGTTTAAAGGATTATCAGAATATAGAATATAGAATATAGAGTATAGAATATAGAATATAGAATATAGAATATAGAATATAGACATTTTATTGATATCATATTTGTGTTGGTTTTCTGAGTGATTGAGATTGATTTATATCCGTCTCTCTTTCACAGAGTACAATCTCTTCCTCGAGTTCCAGCAGCAAGTCACGTGAACCTGATTTGAAAGCAAACTCTTCGCCACCGCCCAACCCATCTGCTCCTGCGCATATAACTTCGCATTTTCAAAATGCCATCAGAAACTACTGGCCGTCGGGTGAAGACCCCCGGTCGAATCCAAACTTCTCGCCATTTTGGCCACCTCATTTTAACCAGTTTGTTTCGTTTCCGCATGAAATGTCTGGGGGTCACATGCGGTCACATAGCCCTGTTGAACAAAATGTAGACTATCACCCTAAATTTGGACATCTGTTAGATGTATTTAGTAAGCACGGTGCTCCCATTGGCGGACATTCTAACTTTCCGGGACACTCCAGTTTCAATGGACATGGTGGACATACTGGGCACAGCATACACCCAGGCCAACATGGTCCGCCTCCAGCAGGACACAACAGGCCTATGTCCGCACAAAGTCATCCTCACCCTGATGTACCAGTGCCCGGACAGACTGCATTGCCAGTGTTTCCGTCACACAATTCACGTCCTACAAACCCCCCTAATATTGACAATATTTCGCGTGTGTCGCCACGGCCTCATATTGATCCGCCGGGTGGACTGCCGTACGGATATGGACATCCTCATTTACACTCTCATTTGCATACACACACGCACCTACACCTACATCCAAGTGATAATGCAGAAAGACACAATGTACCGAGAGAACATCAACCGGCGACTTCCAATGCCCATCCGGTGCTAGGGCATCCCCCGTCATTAGGACTGTCACATGAAACCTCATTACTTCGACCGGAGGAATTACTGCATCATATACAACAAGACCCAAGGATGCGTAATGCTCTATTAGGACCCGGTGGAGTCCCCACCCGAGAAGGAGCAATAAGTCCGGCAATGCTGCATGAGTACTTCAGACATGACCCAACGGCCTACCATTTATGGCTAAGTCAGGTTGCTAGATCTCACCAAGAACATTTATTTCCCGATCCTTTGGCTCACCAGAATTTAAGACTTTTAGCAGAGCACGAGGAATATCTCAGACACATGAGATCGCTTGCCATTGATCCAAAAATGAAAGCCGAACACGACAGAGTAATGTCGCTACCGGAACGTGGCTTGCCAGTTAACGAACGGACTTTGCCACGCGGAGAACAGTTTCCGTTCACTCCAGCTGCTTATATTGAACACATTCGACGTCTACACGGGCGAATAACGCCACCACACACGCCTTTGTCCGTAAAACCGGTAACAATCGATCTTTGTGAAGACTAACTAACATGTACATAAATTGACAGAAGTCTTCGCATCGAAGGGTTCTTGTTATAGCGGTGAGTTAAAAACACACACGTAAATTGAAAATTATAACGCTACTGTAGTAAACTTGAAGGGGAAATCGTTTATGGTTTTATCGTGATAACTATCGCCGTTATTTTCACATGATTTTCCATTAAGATACTTGAAAAATGATCTTAAAGATTAGAACTCATGTCTCAAGCACATTCTATATCCAACCCCATTTTAGTTTATTTTCCTCTGTACAACAGAATCGTTTTGTTTCTATATTAATTAGTGTTGAATGAATCTTGGAGAACAATGTTCTAAATAGTTTTGTCTCTCCTTCCCGTATTATCTCCCCCTTCTGAATTTTCATCCCCTCCCTTTAAAGGTCCCATTCACGCATTATATGTATGAATGTAAAGTTGACCTGAAAGTTGGCTGTAATTTTGATTGAATTATACTCGCCATTTGGCGCAAAGAGAGTTGTTTAATGTCGAGACATGGTTGATAGTAACAACCATATTGTTATTCGCCGCGCGGTATTATATTAATCAAGAAATGGCTGGCCGTTTTTACTGATAAGTTGACATTAGGGGGGGGGGGGGGGTTTGTTGTTGACAGTTCAATAAAGTTAGTTCATGTCCGTTTCAAGACAATATAGGGACAATATCTTGAATTAAATTTATTGCTTAAAAGCAGCTTAGTTATCTTTTGCATTTATAAAGACCGAGTCCTCCATCTATTAGAACTTTCAATTTATTCACCTATCGATTCCTCACCTTCAACTTAGTTTTTAAAACCCCTTTAGCCTCATTATCCCATATTAGCCTCAGTTCGATTCCCCTAGCTCTTCTGCGTTTTATGCGCGTAGGTAACGCGTAAACGATCAACATTTCGTTGGTCAATGTAACATCTGTAAACATGCCGTGTAGATCACGATATCAAAATCGCCTGTTTCTAATGTTAGGATTGTGTTGGCAAACGTTCTTGATTTGTTGGCGCAATATTAGATTTCAATTTTTTTTGATAAGATTTAATGGTTGTGTTACTTTTCTATTTGTTGTCATAATTGTACATTACTTAGTGTAAAATAGGGATGTTTAAAATGTACAATTTATCGTTGTTTGCTCGATAACAGAAAATGGTTTGTATATCGTTATTTCCCTGTCTTGTCATTCCATTACCTTAATTTACCTTAAAGATATATATCCTGAAAATTACTTTCTCACTGCAACGAGGTATTTATGATTTGCCTGTGAGATTGGCTCAGTATACAGGGTCGTGGGCTACTGATATAATGGCCTGTGCTTCGGTTCCTCGCCATGAACAAACTTCACTTACAGGCACTATGTCCTGACGCATTTTTGTTTGAGTTACAGATACTCTATATGCGCGACAGTACAGGCATAAAGACACAACACTTGTTAACCATAGTTTTTAGATTTTGTGCGTGCACTTAAGGAGCATATTGTCTTGTTAAATATTCTCAAATCGAGTTTTGTTATGCTCGCCTTACTTACCATTAAGCTTAGACTCTCGAATACACCAAACTCTCGTATAAGTACCCCTCTAAAATGATCTCTCGAATAAGCCACCACTTCAACGTTGATGCTCGAACGTATCCCCATAGAATCATATTTACATCGTTAAAAAATATGCACTATCATTTAGGCAAAGGAAGAGACAAAAAAATAAATATTTGTTGAAAGCTTTAACAATCACAGTTAGATATAACTATATAATGATTCGCTACACACATTATTCTGCAGTAATATCAATGCTATATTTTTACTTCACGTCGCTCAAGTCGAAGAGTGGGTTTATCTAATATGGAAAAAGAGTTGTTTTGCGAAATATGTATAAGTTGCAACTTACTCTTTAAATGTCTCTTTAACACACACGCTTTGCATCCAATTCCTCGAAACTTCAAACAGACAAGGACATTATCAGATATCTGCTAATTGAAAAGCGGTTTTTAAGTTTGTGTTTAGGCCAACATTGTTCCTTATCTAGCGAACTTTTAAGCGGTTGTAGATCAGCTCGATGGTCCTTCCATTATATTGTACAGAGGTTTTTATTGGCCTACTATTTTCAATTAGAGCAAACGAGGGAGGCAAGCTAAACTGTAGTCTACAATTCAAAAGTACAATACATGATCGATATGTATGTTATGCTGTTTTACACGAAGCATTATCTAACCTCAGTTGATTAGATTGGTCTCCTAAAGTAGAAGTGCTGTTTAAACGTTTTGGTACATCTGACATAATCCTTATATAATCTCGTCCGGGAAAGGTAAAAAATACCAAAAACAAGCAAAATAATGAGTTGTTTTCCTATAGGTATAATTTGCATACAAATAAAGTCTTGGGTCGGCATTATGCTTAGAACTACAAACAGAGCACAAAAATCATGCTCCTGCACGTTTTCTTTCACCCAAGGGGAAACCTCGTGACTTCCCCTGCTTGGCCTAAGCAAACAAATCAAACAAGCTCCTATAACTGTGCACTATCACAGTATTTGAGAATGCGAACAGACTACGGGTCTTGTCTGGCTTGTTGGCTAATAACTTGAATTAAAAAGAAGTGGACCAAGGACACATGTCGAACTAGTTTTAAAGAATTTTGACAGAATAGAATATGATTTACATTCAACACAGACACACCTGAGACTGTAAAGGTAAGCCACTTCATAAAAGTTTCATTAGAATTTGTACATTTTGGCAAAGTAATTCATGATTTCCAAAGACTTGGCCTGACTGAAATATGACAAGTGCATTCCCTGTTTGTTTCAAGTACGCGAAAGCTGATTATGCTGAGAAAACTTTGTCCACGTTATTATCCCTCTCTTTTAACCTTCATACATAAATTGTTTGAGAGACAGCATGTATTGATCGATTCTCATTGGTGCAAAAATTCAACCAAATAGCAACAATATTTGAATGCTATTGCATAGGCTTTTCAGTCAAAATTCAAACAACCTACACTCCTCAACTGCCCTGCCGAGCATTACTTTACACTAGCAATTGAAGCTCGTAGTTGCCTTGCCCTGGATACCTTAGCCCCGCCCTCATTCGGAATAAAGCTCTGGTAAGCAAGGCAGGATCGTGTCTACAGTAAAGAAAATAAATATCTATTTGATATTTTCATAGCCATGATATGGAGGCCACGCGGTCCTGCCTGAGCCTGGCTACGCATAATGCATAAACTATAGCTGATAAGCAAAAATATGGAGGTTCTATATACTTGTTCTCCATCGCATTAAAATAAGCCTAAGTATTCATTTGTAAATATTGATCGACAAAAGGGCCTAGTTTGCTTTCATGTGCTCTTCCATTTCATGGGACTCCTTGCCATTAGCTGTCGCAGCATTGTCAAGTAGGACGGTCTTGTATTCGGGCTTGATATCCACGCCTGAAATTTGCAAAACTTTTAGTTATTTTATATTTCTTATACACGGTTAAGTTTGACTTCAACAACCTAATTGCAAACTTGGCTGTACCAAAGCCTGTTTACTGTATAAAAAATCATAACATTGTGTTAAAATAACTCTTCCTGAAATAAAAATGGAAAAGATTAACTGTATCCTGCTCTATTTCAGCATGCCCCCGGCTAGGAAATATATGTTTGATGTATCTTCTCTCTACCTATTTACTTTTTGGTACTTTACCAGCATTTTTCGGTTCATAATAACTTTCCCCAAATCGACTTAACAATTCTTGTAAAGATGTTCAAACTAGGACAAACCTTTTAAGTTGACCATTTTCCTTAGCTCAATATTGGGGATGCCATTTTGAAAATCCCCTGCAATGTCGAATTTCAAGCTCAGGCAGTATTTGAAGACAACCTGTGCCAAAAGCGAGCCAAACACTATGCAGAACAGAGTGATCACCATATTAAGGGTCCGGAATGGAAAATTCTGTATGAATGATCCATTTTTGGTCTCCTTGTACAACGGATATTTGATAACTGCTGGCATATCTAGAAATAAAACAATACAATGTTTTTGCGTTATATGATTTTTGCACCAGAGACTTTGGAACAAGAAGTGGGAACGTTTAAATATTTCCGGGAGGGGGGGAAGTAACTTCCACCTACACTGGTATGATATTTCCCACTTTCTGGGGTACCTTTTATCAAGTAGAAAATCAATCGGTTATAATAAATTTTGGGAATTTCAGTATGACCTTGGAACTTGAGGTATCATTTCTAAAGGAAAGGTAACATTTTTTCATTTGCCTGGTTAAGTTGTTGGATTTTTGCAAATTTGAATTAAATTTAAGGTTATGAATTTTATATTGTATCTAAATTCTGGGGTGGGTTTTTGGAAAATTCATAACTTTAAGACTATTTTTTTTCTATTTCAAATGACATACTCCCGTCCTCTGCATATAATTTTTATTTCGGTAATCCATGTATATTTTAGACGGACCCTTTATTGATAACAGCACGTTGTTGCTGACCAAAGTTAACCTGTATAAATATGATATTATTATTATTATTATTATTATTCTGCTTTTGAAGTTACCCCCGGGTAATTACTAACCAAAAAGCCTAACTACCTAGCTCTACCAGTGAAAACTACATTCTCTTTCAACGTTCTTTCTCTATCTCAAATGAGGTGACACAAATTTCTACAACGCTTGGGCAAATATGGATAGTCTGTCTAACAAACCAGGAAAATGAATAAGAATTCGTCATTGGAATCGGAATTGGCTCGAAAAGATGTTTTCGTTTCTGATTATAAAAATATTTCAGAGTAACAGGCATTCATAACAGTGCAGTAATTAATAAAGACCTTGCAAAAGTGTGTGATAATGAAATTGTAAAAGGCCAAAAATGCCTATCAATGTTGAAATTGGCTTTGAACTAACTTCAAACACTTGAACTTGAAGTTAATACAGCAAGAATACAAAATCATTTAGGTCATTTTTGAATAATTCAAATAATTTCGAAAAAGTAAATCTGTGTATATAATCTATACAGTTTATAACGTAATGTTCTTTGAAATCTGATTATTTGATTTAATTTTCTTCATATTCATCAAAAATGTTTCCAATATTTGAATATTTTTCGAAATTATTTATAAACAAGTTTTTAGCAAAAAAAATTCAATATTTGAATATTTATTATAATTGTATATGAATAGTCTTTTAACAATAAGCGTGTAGTAGTATTAATCTTGAAACTTTGAGTAGCAACTTAGAACTATCCTGTTCTTTTTGCCAAATACATCGGGAACTTTATAAAATACTTGTAATCTAACATGTAACAAGAATCTCAATTACTTTCAGCAATACATAAGTGTTCCATTATTCGAATATATGGATACCGTTGGCGAAGCAAATATCATGTCGAATATTGTACTTACTGATCAATGGTTCGCCTCCTAAAAGTCGAAGAAGGAACCCCATAATGTAACCAAACAGGGCACCATAAGTGTTTGAATAACCGAAATAGAGCACACAGAGTAATTCTGGGAACAAGACGACGTAGATGATATCAGAGCAGAGATAGGAGAGTCCGTATATGGATTCAACTGTCAGTCCAATCGCTGTTGCTAGGGCACCAACAACAATAATGGATGCTCGAATCACCCATATGACTTCTTTGTCTGAAGCCTTGAAGAAGAATTTAGAAAAATTATTGATTTAAAATGTCGAATGCAACAATGTCAATCTATCTGTTCGCTTTAACATTAAATGAAAATGCTATTTGTTTCATGCAAAATTAGTGTTGGAGGCGTACCAAGAGTATTGGAGGCGATGCTCTGACCATGTACCGATTTAGGCTTATCACACAAACCCCAAAGTAATTCACATTATACTCCAAATATTACAGCAAAAACTGAAAACCAACCCTTTACAATCTGTTTTCAATGCAAGCCTCTCAAGTCAGATCAAAAGAATTGTTACGTAAAGAACTAGTTTCTTTGAGAAAAGAGCTTTTAAAAAGATATCCTGACATTTTCAGTCGAAGAAATAATCATTGTAACGTTTTTCGAGGATTAATGCTGTAAAGTTATTCTATGCCGTTTTAGGGTACTTCGCTTTAAATGAATCAATGTATTTTACAAAGATTCGCTAATAGAAAAAGTAATGATGAAGAACCCTCACCCGCTGCCTGAAAATCGTTTTGTAAATGTTGTGTGCATACATAGAGCTTGCAGACAGCACACTCGAATCGACACTGGACATGACAGCTGCGGACACCGCCCCTAGGCCAACAAAAGATGCCCACGTTGGCGTCAGGTACTGCAAAACCATTGGCATTATCATCGATGGCTTGATTATCATGGAGCCATTGCTGTCCCTTTCAGCAACTGAGTTGAACCCGGTTTGCTCCCAGTCTACAAAGAAATAAAACAGAAATACAATAACAATGTGTATCACAGCTCTTGGAAATAAACGCTACATGACCAAACAAAAGTGAGTTACCTTTTTAAAGGAAAAGATTCGGGAGGACGACACTTTCTAACTTCCTTTGGATTGACGATACTCTCTAAGAATCCGTCAAATAAATTCACTAACTTTCGTAGCCTTTTCCAAGATTGACCTGCTACAATCCTTTCAACAAGGTTTGTCTTATTTAGCTTCAGATATGAGCATACCTGTGGATTTACCAATGGCACCAATAAGGATAGATGGCACTGCCATGATCAAGCACCCAACAGAGGCTGCAAAAGAGAGGTACTGCGCTCTCTTGTGGGTCTTGCTGGATAGCACACGCTGGAAGTAGACTTGCCATGGAATTCCACCAAATATCTATGACAATGACTTCATAATATTAATTGCTTATCCAGAGCACATAGAATACCTTCCTATAGCTACACTTAAAAAGCTCCTAAAATAAAAAAGGGTGTTCCGTAATGCAACGACAAGAAGCTCTTAAATGAGAACAACGTGCTCCAATATGAAAGGAAGTGTTCAAAACTAGAGAGAGGTGTTCCAAAATCTAAAGAAGTGCTCTATACTGGAAAAGAACTAACAGGACCCAGCTTCCTTCATCAGCACAAATTGTGACCTCATTTTTAATTCTTGCTTGTTTGGGAGTAGTCTTCTAAGGGCCTCTTTTCTTCTTTCCAAATGCCAAGTCCATGAAAACTGGTTCCCTTTAAAAATTTTGCATTTAAGTACATCACAATATCACGTTTTATTCAGCCAAATCAGTGTAAACATACCAGTAACAGGGCATTGTCCATCCAATTCCCAAAGGATCCCCATTCCCAACTTTGGTCTCCAACCCAAGTTTGCTTCGTCTGTGAAATCGGCGTTACGGCTTTGTGAGTCAATGCAAATGGAATTGTAAGCCACTGTAAGAGACAAAATGACGTCAAAATAAGAAGCACTACAATAGCAAAGAAGTTAAGTCTTTTCATTCGATCCTTAATTCAAATGGCCGTATGTTGCTATTCTTGCTTCTGCTGCTGTCATTAGTACAATGAAATTCCCATAACTTGGGCCTCGGGCATCTGGAAATTTTATTAGATTGAAATGTTTCTTTTTTCCATTTTAACACTTCCAAATTCTCTCAAACCCCGGATAACTTGAACATTAATCAACACAAACTGTTGTTTTTTCCCCTTGAACATTTTTCAACAACCTATTGACACTGGAAATTGAAACTTTCATTATCTTGACCAATTTCTGTTTTCTCCTTAATCCTTCTTCAATACGCCTGCAGCCCGGATAACTGAAATGTTTCTTATCTCGAACCATTTCCATTGTTTCCTTAGAGTTTTGAAAAATCGAAAATATAAATAACTTCATTTGTAATCGATTCCCGTGCAGCTGATCTTCCGAGTATAGTCTTTTTTTTGAAAAAAATTACGTTATTATTATTAGACTTTCATAATATATGATTGCAATCAATATATTGAAGGTTTTTTCCTTCTTTTAATGTTGTCTTCTGTATAATTGAGCAAATATTGCTTAGAACTTAATTACTGAATAAGAAAATAAAAAATGTACATGGTCAACATGGGCGGATCCAGCAAAAAACTTGACTGAGTTTCAGGCCAAGGCTAGGGTCTTTCAGATAATGCATTGATAATTGTGTCTAACACAACATTATTATTCACATTTATGCATTTTGAGGGGGGTACCATTGAGGGGGGGGGGCGGTGTGAGGGGTAGGTCTTATCCGCTCACTAAATCTAGATTCTAGATTTCTTTCCGACAGAAAACATTTAGCCATAGGTATTATTTTAGGCAGTTAGGTTTTTCGTTTTCTGGTATCTAGATATTTCTGGCCCCATCCTAATTTATATTTCAATATTCTTTAGCTATTGTATGAGGTTCGAGCAGAAGGCTCGAAACAGTAATTGTCTGCCAATAGTAGTGAGTCATGCACTATGCACAGAAGCGACCTACGACAATGTTGCCTGTGGTTGCACTCGAGATGGTTTGAGGTATATCAGGGACGCCCGAGCACATTTTGGAGGGGGGGAGAGGGATTTCTCTAGACAATTTAGCAAACTTTGATGGTAGTTTTTCCCCGTTTTACTTTATGCCACTACCTGAGCAAAAATGTGAGGGGGATATAGCCACCCCCGGCCCCTTCTGCCTCCGGCATGCCTGTATGTGACCCGTATAAGCTACTGCGATTCAAAATGGTTTTGAAAAATGAATGTCTTGACGTTGTCATCTTTGATTGCTTACCATTCCTATGAACATGCAGATCAACTGTGCAACATCTGTGTAGGCCACTGACCAGAGACCGCCAAGAAACGTGTAGAACACCGCAATGCATGCTGATGCTGCAACGGACAGCTCCCTTGAGATATTCATGACGATGCTGATCGTGGCACTGAGGCTGTTCAGCGTGGCCGCCGACCAAATCAACTCACCGAGGAATGCTGGGATATACATAAGTCCTCCCACCCTGATTCCATATCTGTCTTGAAATGGGTCCAACATTGTCACGTAGCCTCGCCTCCGCATTATTTTTGCAAAAAGAAAACCACCTGTAGGATAAAAATGCCCCCTTTTCATTACATATTTAATACCAAACTCAGAACAAGCTATAGAAGAGAGCAAAGATTGGTAAATAAAGAACACCCGTTATCTTTTCAATTACAGTATCATTTCAGTGCTGTAGACAGAACTAGACATGCGTCGCTTTGTAGAGCAAGACGGTTTAAAGTTGTTTATTAATTTACCACTTCCATTACTGCCCTCTTATTGGGTAATTCTGCAGTAATACATGGCAAATGAAACTCGAAAAATCAATGAACGACACAACCATTAGCACTCTCATATTTGATTTGATCATAATGTAATCTTCAAGCCAAAACTGAACCTGCAGCGAATCATGTTCATTTTATTCAATCAAGCTGTTGACACTTGAACATACTCTAAACTGTACACCATTATAAATTCACCTTAATAAAAGACTTCTCCCTTCCAAAATTCTCAATCTCGAGATTATCGAAACATCAGTATGAAAGTAATCGAATCGAAAGAAATTTTTTATTAGCGTATAAACCCACAGACTATGGAACGCAATCAATTACCCCTCTGGGTATAAAAGGTTTTCAGTTTGCTTCCATTATAAGGTTAACAACAAGTGAAGAGCATTTCTAAATGCTCACTAAAATTCTGCATTCGGGAAAGCGATGTGCCTGCAATGCTTGCAGAAAGAAATTCCATAGTGCGATCTCTTGAAATTAGTGTGCATATAAGTGTCTGTACTACTGTACAACTGTAAATGTAAAACTAAAATTTACAGGAAGGTATTTCAAGTATAAGCTCCATTTTTAAGCAAAGATCAGAAAATAAAGCGCAGAGGGAGCCTTAAACCGTTCTGTTCTACATACTTGTGAAAATTCAGTTTTAATTTTCTAGGTATCTAGATATTTCTGTCTAGAATAATTACTACTTCAGGTATAAAGGGTTAATCACGTGACCCGTTTTAATAATAGTAATTAAACAAGCTTCTACTTGGTTCATACCTGGTTTGATTGATATCCTATCAAGTTCATGCCTGTAATTTTTATTTACATTAAGTTTGAGAGCGATATGAAAGATGAAATACGACCAACTTTAGAAGACTCTTGGAAATCTCAATGCCCTTGATTTTAGTTGAGAGGAATGATCAGTCGGTGTATTTAGAGAGGAGTCTGGGTTCAATGAACACAGCACCCTCACTTGCCAATATAAATACTATATAGCAAGTAAACATCATAACTACTGTTGTTTCTGCTTTCACGAACTCTCATTTTTTGTTCACTAAAAAATTCGTCACATCTTGCTTCCACTGTATTTTGAAAGCCTATTTTTTTACATTTGTGTGAAAATTGTAAAAAAAGATGTTCTAAAATAAGTGGATTTGTTAAAAAATGGGAAAAGTTTGGTCCAAGATTGAAAGAAAGGCGCTATAACGGAATAAAGTGATCTACAAGGGAAAATGAAGTGTTCTAATGCTCGACCAAGAGTTGCTCGAAGTATAGAAAATTATCCACGGAAGAAACAGGAGTTCCAAAAAGGAAAGCATTGTTCGAAATTGAAAAAAAATTTGTTGCAAAATAACATTGAGTGCTTGAAAATTAAAAGAACGGCTGATGGAGTGTTCCTAAAGAAGAAGAGTTGTCGGAAAATGCTAAAAAGTGGTCTATGATATAGAAAGACCAGTTCTAAATAATGCCAAGTATTCAAGAATAGAAAAACGATTTCTGTTAGAGACGAAGCGTATCAAAAAGAGTTGTATTTAAAACAGAAAGCAGTGCTCTATAATCGTAAAAAAATGTCATAATACGAGAAAACATGTTCCAGAACTCAAAGAATTGTTAAAGAATTTTAAGAACTGAAAAAGAAAGAAAAGTTTTTAATGTGAGACGAGTTGTTCCAATATTCATTACAATGATTTCCTCTCTTTACCAAGGAAATCTATGCAAAAAAATCTCTTAAAATGAGATAAAGTGTTTTCCTTTGGTGGAAAGAAGTATTCTATCAGGCGAAGAAGTGCTCCCTAGTAGAAATCATACCCCAGAATAGAATGAAGTGTTCCAAAATGGAAAGAATTGCTCCAAAAATCCGATGAAGTATTCCATAGTGGAAAGGTGTGTTCCAAAATAGAAAAAGTTTATAGAGAATAGGAAAACTCCTGTCCTACTCTGTTCTATAATGGAATGGAGTGTTCCAGAATCAAAAGAAGTGTTCCAATGCGAGACGACATAATCCAAAATCGAAAACATCGAAGCTAAAATGACAAAGGCGTTGTGCAGGAACAACTTACCAAAGCAAAGACTCAAGGAATATCCCCATGATGACTGAGCCCACGTGAGTCCGTACTTGTAAACAGCCTCCGCAGTTCCATTGATGTAGCCACCACCAACCCATGTAGCTGTAAAAAGGTTAAAGGAAAAAGACTCAATATCAGAACATAAGCCGTGTCTGCAAGAAAATTTGTCGAATAACATAGAACATGAAGCTTAGAATGGGGTTTGTATATCCGACACCACGGGATTCAAACTGGAATACGTTATTCGTATCAGGTACAGCTTTTCTTAGTACTTGAAAATTAAATTGGATTCGATAAAACGTTCAGTTGCACCAGAAGTAGAGGGAAGAAACTCTTATTAGTGTAAATCAACATAAATGTTAAGAGCCTTTTGCAAAAAACTTGTGCTTAAGATTCCTTGCATTGCAAAGATGGCCTAAACTACTCTACGTGTCGTGGAACTTCTTAAACTTGTGTCATGAAACATTTGGAAAAGTTCTACCTGTCATGGTGAAGCAGCCAACAAAAAGCCCAATGCTCCGTCCAGCCAGCATGACTTCGTTGCTCTCATCGTGTTGCTCTCCATTCTCCTGGTGCTTCGATTTCTTGCAGCCAGCCCAGATTCCAAGAACGAGGATCAGCAGATAAAATACAGCGATGCCAATAATGCCAACGACGTTTATTTCCATGTTGTTTGTTGCACTTGTCTTCCTATCTATTCTGAAAGAAATATAACAGATATGAGAATTGAAAATTGGCGTTGCGTTTGAAGGGTTAAAAATGAAATTTTTTTAAAAAGTCTCAAAGTTTAATTTTATCTATCATTTCGTAACGCTGAATAGAGAAAAGGAATCAACGATCCAGCCACGTGTTTATTAAGCAAAAAATGATTTGTTATTTGCCGACGAAAAAAACAGAAATTTCTGACAGTGTCGTAATACTAGGGAGCACTTTTTATTGTCCTTTCTCCCTCGCAGATGCTCCTGTACCAAGAGAGCTAATGTAAACATGCTCAAGTGGAAAACTCTGGAGTCTTTCTACATTTCCCGTCCAAAGCTTTTAGCAATGTTGTGAAGATATATGTCCATATCCGAGCCGAAATACGTTGACTCAGAAAAAAGACACTTAGATCTAGACCACATAAACGTGTTTGCCCCAGGTTAAGAATAATTAAAACAGTTTTCAGTTAGCCCCCTATAGTACGTGAAATATAAGTATAAAAGACACAGATCTCCTGACAACAGACATTGAAAGTCAAAAAGCCATGTTTGAGTAAAAATTTCTCTACAGTTGTGTATATGTATATATAAACGCATTTTTTACTATAGCTTATAAAACAGCCTAAAAACACGATAAGAAATTCCCACAATCGCACTATCTTCTTTGCAACTTATACACAGATGTATTGGAATGTTTTTTATTTAGCAATATTACTTGAAAAACTTCAGGTCAGGTATCATTCACTTATTTGTGATCCAAAATGCATTTTGCTGACTAGCACCACACCAATGTCTCATTTGTTCCATCACTTCATTTTACAAGATGAAAATGAAAAGGAAAATGCGAAGGCGCACAAATGCATGAGATGGAGGACATTGCTTCTCTTTTATGGACTGTAACGTGAGACAGTTTATCACGTCAAAGCATAGGCGTAGACTTGCATTTGTTTCAGGAGGGGAGGGGGGGGGGGGCTCAGAAAATTAATGAAAATTCCTAATTGCAGCTGCTGGTGTCACAAGATAGAAAATGGATTAGCTAAGGGCTTAAAGGTGATTTTTTCGTGCATTTTTCATTATCGAGGAAGAAGAAACACACAAATGAAATGATTGAAAGTTTATTTTTAAATCATAATCAGTTTCTTTAAGTTGAGATCATCAGTTCTATTTAGGCACCCAAAATGTTTATGCGTGGAACCAATAATATAACAAACTAATCTAAAAATTGGTGAAGCACTTCCTTATTTTCCAGGGGGGGGGGCTCAGCCCCCCCCCCCACTCGGTTTTCCTCAGGTTTTCAGAATTGATAAATACGAATCCTTGTCTCTAAGCGGCTTTAATATAGTGTTCCACTATGCTCTACAGTTTCGCGAATGTCTTTACGTCTGCGATAACTCTTTTTGAGAGTCTCAGCCCATAATTCCATGGATCTGTGGGAGAACACAGCAAATTTTTGAACCAAACGTTTGAGCGATGCCTCAAATCTCGACGGTTTGTTTGTTGTTTATGCCATAAACCACTCATTTGTGGGTTTGCACTTCTGCATTGCATGAACAAGCAGCACAATTACATCAGTATCCTTCGCAACAAGAACTATTTTGCATCTTGCGAGTTAGCATGCAGAATCATTCTGGTTTCAGCCTTTTTGTGGTTACATCTTGGAAGGTCTTTTATTTGCTTTTTGAAGTCTCCCATGCTTCTTCTCCGTAAGTTATAACCAATGGAATTGTCTGGAGCCTGTGAGCCTCAGCGCTTCGAAATAATTTGGGAGTAATTTTTATTACTTTGTTTGCATCATTGTAAAAAACTCTTTTTACCTTGGAGAATCTTTTGCTTCAAACCTTTTTTATGCACTTGCCTTGATGACTCACCTCTACTTTGTTGTGCACACAAAAATCCAAGAAAACATCGAAAGCAGTCTCAATAATGAACGAAGACCACCAAGGTTTCGAGACTGGCAAGGCTGTCTTTATCGAAAAGGCATTTGCACATCTCATCAAAACCATAGCTCTAGTCTTGCAACTCCTGAAGGTGTATTGTGACGAGGAAATGAAGTTGTTCCTCTTAATTTCATGTGCAAGGAGTCAATCCATATGTAAATCTACCACCAGAAAACGCCAGATTGTATTGATGAGATGGTCATATTTCGCAGCGGAATATAGTCTCATTGAAAAAAGTCATGTACCTTCAGCCCAGCGCGAGGGCATCTTGGATAGCCTATAGTTCCAAGACATTCTCGCGACTTAGTGCAACAGTCAAATGCAGATGCAAAGAACTTATTGTCTGGTTCAGAGTGGGAGCAAGACTTTGCAACTACGGAGGAAGAAGTGACTGCATCGACAGATAGCACTACCTTAATCGAACTTTGGCTACTGCAGTTCGCACAAACGTAATTGAAATGATTTAAATACTAATTATTTGATTGAAAAAATATGGAGGAAATGGTTTTGCTGACATCCAGCCTCATATTAATACAAAGTTTGGCCAACTTATCATTTAATGACAATAAGATCTTTGATGACGTCATGCAAAATTTTTGATGACGTCATAATGAAAATACTGATGGCGGCAAATCATTCTTAAATATATATCGATTGAAAGTTTGCAACGAGTCGAGTCAAAATATGTAATTTGCCTCAAAAAATAACACTCCAGGAAAGAGCTAGCGATGATTTTGTCTGATTTTTTACCGTTAAATCATGCCATCAGTCACGTGACACCCAGGCATTTTTAAAAAAGTCACCTGACAGATAATGAAAGCCTGGACTTCCTACTACAAGAATCCGTTGAGAAAGCAAACATTAGCTTGAATGTCAGATTGTCAGGCTATATGTCCTGTCTACTACCCTTCGTAGTTGCAAAACTTTAATTCATCGAAAGTTCAATCCCTCATTTCAATATGGTCCCATCAAGCACAATCTCATCTCAAGTCCGCTGTCAAAGTTTCTTTCAGGAATTCTGGGCTAAAATACTGTTATCTCTTAATGACTGGGTTTCAGAACGCTAAATCGTTGCCTTTACGAAAAGAAAATCTCCTGCTCTTGACACGTCAAAATGGGCCTGTCATTTAACGAACTACCAACCAAAAATCAAAAAATTTGTAACTGTCATCGCCAGGGGTCTTGGGTTCCGCATATGGGTTCCGCATATGGGTTCCGCATAGGGGCCAATTATTTGTTTAAGGGCGTGATGATTAAGGCGTGGCCTATAAAGGTTTAAGAAAGGGAAACTTTTAATTTCAAGCCTGCATTGATCGGACAAAAAATGTTTGACAGGAAAAAGCATAATTATTTGATTCGACCACTTAAGTAAATATTGCAAGCTTGAAAAGAAAAAAAATTAACTAAAAAATTTGAAAAGGGGCCCTTTTAAGTTTTGCAACCTTCGTCTTACTCATATCATAGAACATATATGGTTAACAAATAAAAATAACACAACGTCCAAAGTTAGTTTGAATTGACGCTCCAGGTGTATTGTTGATGAATGGACTTAACAATTTGAATGAAGTTTTCTTCTTCAATCTAAAATATAGCGTCTTTTAAGATCAAAGTTACGTAAACTTCCATTAAGATAAGCCTTTTAGAGTCGTTTACATGATAACAAACCAAAACAAAATGAGTTTTAACAACATGTCTTTTCTAATTTGAATTTCGCACTTAAAGAGACCCAGTTCGTTTTCTAGTCGTATTAAGGGGGAAATAATTCAACAGCCAAGTATTTCTACATAACACCTGTTCCAGGACAGGTGTTCTTGAAAGACAATCAATATATACGTCATATCTTAAGGAAAAGTAGTATTGTATTGATTAAAAGAGATATAAAATGCTCTCATAGTCCTAAAAATTTGTAAATGATAAGGACTGATCATCATAGCTAATATATTCCTAATGACTTGTGTACAAGAGCCAAAGCAGGTGTATCTCGTGTCTATCAAGCTAAGAAAAATGTCGCTTTGCTTTTGCCAAGCTGTTGCAATAACCAACGCGCTGATATCTAGCTATCTTTTATAGTTAAAAAGAAGGTTCTGAAAGCTAACTCCAATTTCTTATCTTTGTATTGCTGCCCTCCTCAGTATGAACTCTTAGTGAGAAGACTGCCGGAGGGCAAGGAAAATTCTAAGAACAAATTTTAATCGTGTACCTGTGTTTTTAATTATGGTTTCTAAACAAAATAGAGGTACCAAGTTACAATTACCTATAGTTCTGTCATCAAAGATGTAGCAACAAAACTGTTTGCAGAGCCTTTAGCTCATACAATGGTTCTTTCATAATAGAAAAGGACGAGTAACGATGTTTGATGTCTAAAAAGTCGAAATAGCCCGGAGAGGCAATAGACCTGATATAACTTGTACATAAGCCAAATGGAGTCAGCGTGAAGAACATTGACTTGGTTTTAATACCAGAAATTGATAGCATAAAAAATAAAGTACAGTTGTTTCGCCAGTAAAGCGATCAGTAAAACGCTGCTAAAATACTGTTCGTTTCATGGCTTTGCACTCAGAAATTCCAAAATTATAGGTAAAAACAAGGCAAATAACGCTATAGCCCATGTCTTTGGGTTATGCTGGTCTACACCGTTTCTCAGACATCAACTACTTAATCATCGGGAGAAGCGCTGCCCCTTGCCTCGCCCCTTGCCTCGCCCCTTGCCTCGCCCCTTGCCTCGCCCCTTGCCTCGCCCCTTGCCTCGCCCCTTGCCTCGCCCCTTGCTTCGCCCCTTGATTAGCTAGTTGATAAAAACATCACGAATGCTGATACGGACACGAACTTAGTATAAATATATTCTTCTTTAACCTAAAGCGAATCTTGAACAAACAGCTTGCAACTTATGCATACATTAGGTAAAAGTTGCATGCCTCTGATAAAAGCTTTTATTATCAAAACAAAACACTATTAGATCCTTAAATCTCAGAAGGAGACCAAACATAAGTTGATATATTAAATTATTTTGCACGGCCTTCCCTGCTCATAAAGATTGGCACAACTTCTTCATTTCTACAGTATGCACCGCCTACTATGCATAAAATAAGATACCTTATGGTAGCCTTCGGTCCAACTGCTTTAACCTGATTTTCCTTACCCTCTAAATGACACAGCCAGTATCTTACCTTCTTCTTACTTTATCTCTTGATCTTCAGCATCCTACTGCTGGCTTCAGAAACAATGTTGTTATCAATAAATAGCTTTGCAGAATTATTGTCAAGTTTCCATTCTTTACTGCACAAACATGTAAGCTGGCCTCGTAAACAAAACGCTAATCGTGAGAAACCGTCTCTTTGCGCTCATAATGAAAGCAACCCTGGCCAATTTCAAAATCTTTCATATTTATTGTTTTAAATGCTTCCTGAAATCGAAGGACGTTGTTTTGAAACGCATAGCTATTTTTGTTCATGAAATTCATATGAGAATTAGCGGAATCTTGCTGTTTACATGTGTAGCAAAATAAACAATTCTTGCAATTCAACTAAATGATTCGGCAAGATCGATTCAAAGCTGCTACAGTAGCAGACGGTTAACGAAAATACTAGCAAAAAAACAAGCCAACTTTTGTTGTTGGGGGGAATTAAAAATTTGTGATGCCTTGCTCATTATGAAACATACCCGGTGTTTGCATTTTCAATGATTAGATGACGTCGATTGAGGAAGTGACTTTCTCAAAGACTTTCCATGAAATGCTGCAACTCAATTCAGGATATTAGTTTGATTTTTGTATTTCAAGTCATCCATTATCATGTTTATTGTGTTCAGAGGTTGAAATTTTGCGAGGAACTTGGGAATCAAAGAAAGTTCTTTTGATAAGAAGGCAAGTGCCCATGACAATGCCGTTAATATTTATCAAGGAAATTAATCTTGAATTCTTACTGTATTGCCTTTTAATAAATTTTCCCAAATGCCGTAAACAACTCAAAACATGTTTTGAGTTGTTTACGGCGTTTCGAGCATGTTCTCGTTACGTTACATGCTCGTATCGTCGTGTTTTTAACAATCAAACTATTTCATTCTGATACTAAATCTATTTGCTAACTGGATTATCGTTATTTCAGATGAAGTACCACATGCAACGTGCATAATTATTTGACTTTCAAAGTTGCCTACAAACTACAAAAGATCTATATCATTACAACTTGTTCTGAACATGCCCCCTTGTCCCAGGGGTCGTTCCTTGTCCCAGGGGTCGTTCCCTTGTCCCTGATAGCTGCGAGAGAGACCGGAGTTTCTCAAAAAGGCTACTTTGTAAAGGGATTCACGTTCGTGATGTTTCAAATTATCGAGATATCCAAAGTGGGAACGAATAAACTTACGGGTGCAATGAATATGTGTTAAATGGCTTGTAAATCACATGTGAAATGCATTTACTAAATATCACTGTCTTCTCTAGATACGAGAGCCTAGACTCCAGTTGAACAAGCTGTCAGTTGTATATCGCATAACGCTCTAATGCCCGGGGTAGTCACTGTCTAGCGATACAAACTTTTACTGAAATAGGATTCAGTTGCAAGACTTCTATAATAAAAACAATTATGAGCTCCGGCCCCCCGCTTCTGATGGCTTTGACATATACAATAAAATACTATTTCAAAAGTTCAAACTAGAGGACTAAAACATAAGGGATGGCTTAACATGCTTAAGCCAAGAGCAGGATAATAAATTGTAGGGTCTTGAGTACATGTAGAGGAAAATTTGGAGCTAAACCCCCTCAGCCCGCCCCTCGAATTCCACGGTCCCTGACAACAATACTTTAGTGCCGTGAACTTTACAGTTAGGCCCCGTTTGTTCTTGAACATGAGCAGCGCCACCTCGGAAACAAATTACCAAAAACGTAACCAAAAACGTGCATCAGCCCCAAGTGGAATCCAAGACTCCTGATTATCACTCCTGTCTGAAAATATCGAGTTAGAAATTTTTGTTTGCTTTGAAGATACTGTAATATTGTGAATTGTGCACATATTGGAATAGCATTGCATAGAATAGAATAATCAGTTAATTTGATTAGTAATAGAGAACCTGTAAAAGCTTATCTGAATGTTCTGTTACGTTGTTAGGAAACATTTTTTCTTTTCGTATTTTAACTGCGATACATAACATAATGGTTGCAAGGAAAATCTTCATTCACAAATGACATTCTCGCTTCAAGAATACAATCAGCAAGCTTGAAACAGTCTTACACATTTACTTCCAAATTTCATTAACATTGTTAATAGAGCGACTAAGATCTGGTGGCCACATTTCTAATTCATCACCACACTAAATCCTTTCTTCGTTGATAAGTGATTTTATTTCACCGATAAAAATCGCACATGTTTCTTACGATAATCGAAACGTAAGCACGAAATAAGTGAAAAATCAAAGACTTACATAAAATATGATTTGCAACGACCACCTTGTGCATCTATCCTCAAACAGAGGGTGATTGTTGCGGCAACAGGTCACACTACACATTTTAACTGAGAACCACGTACAACCCTTTGAATACCAAATTCTTTCTGAATACACAAGTATGACCAGCTTCTCAAATTACATTCAAACGATTGAGTTACTAAATGAATGGATTGTCCAACTGTACACATTACACATCCACCCGTAGCCATACGCCCCAAACACTTCGTAGCGACCCCCTCAAACTATGTGTGAAAACTCACTGCTTTTACGGCAACAGCCCCAAGGAACGTTGTTTAATAATTGTGATTGAGATTCTAAATGCTAACTTGAGAGCTGTATGGAATTTCTAGTTAGAAAGCTTTTAGCAATGAGGAAAATATTTCAAAGGAAATTCGTCCGAAAAGAAATTTCTAACTGCCAGCCTCATTTTTGGCCACACTTCTTATCCATTGTTAAACTAGAGAAGACTTTTACAAGACGATATTCGATACTGCAGGGCTTACGCACAGTCGATTTAACCAGTAGAATTGCTGAGGTTGTCTAAAATCCTAAAGACTTTCATTCATGGCTTAAAACTTTTATCTGTACTCTGGGTTTCAATCTATAAAATTTTTCTTGATATGAATTTGATTTTCTACTCCTTTGAGGTTCTTATACCAAGAACACGACACCTTCTTATTTTGCTCATAAAATGGCGATGCAGGAATTTCCAAACAGTTTGCTGTTGGTAGAATGCCACTTATGGCAACTATTAGATAATAAATTCTAACTCAAAGAATTTCAATTTGGGTTTTCCTCTGGCTTGCTAATTCTATTGCAAAGATTAATTATTTTGACCCCGACCGACTGCGCTTCTTACTTTATATTCTTGATCTGTTTCTTCAGTGTAATGTAATTGTTGACGTTTTGTTAATTGAAAATGACGAATCTTCAGTGTGCTTTGCTTTCTTTTTAAAGGAGTTATAGTCTTAAAATGTAAGCGAAAACTAAAACACGCAAAATAATTTCCTAAAGCAAAAATTTTAGATTTAAAGCAATAATGCTGGCAGATATAATTTGTCAAAGTAAAATCGAAGAAAGTCTGAAATATCTGGATTAACATTCCCTCTGCACAAACTGACCCTTTTTATGTTGTTTTGTAGAGCAAACTTCAGAGCCCAAGTCTTTTGTTTGAAAATGTCAACAAATAACTCCGGTCTCTATTTAAAATAACACTCGATAAATAGTCGCAACAATTAATGAAAAGGATGATGTTGATTTTTTTCAACTTTAATTCTCCATAGAATGACATGTGGTAGATAGTTTGCCTAAGGAAAGTGAGAAACTATTGATTTTGTTATACGACGCCCATTGGTAATCTTCTGGACAAAATAGGTGACAGCTGATGCCGGAGAGACGGAGGCACACACAACAGTGTGCAGCTCTCTGCATCGCATGACTTTGCAAAAACTCCATTCTTCATTTGTCCCATGTCATTTTAATAATTATTGAAATAAATAATTCATAAAAAGTACGTGAAACAATTTCTATTTCAAAATTCCCTCAGTTCTCACAAAGCAACTGAACACAAATAAACTCAATTTTTAAATGATAAATTAGGAACATGAGAATTTTAAATAAATGCCTAATTAGAAAGATTTTAAAACATACCATTAATCGGATGGTTCGTTTAGAACAGCAGCGATTTCAATGGAGTTCTTTGATTTCGGTACTTAGAGGCACATTCGATGTTAATGAAAAGGAGTTTGACCGATTTGCCGTCAACTTAAGGATTTGAGTTTTCCTGCAGCTGCATAATTCATATGCCTGTAATCACCGTGAAGAGACTTAGAACAAAAGTAAGCAACCAGACGCATTAATCTTTCATGCTGGTCGTTACTCAAGCACAGTTATTTTCATGCATATTTACGGCTAAGAGATTGCCAAGCCCAGAAAGCAAACAGTAATGGATCATCGCCTCCCATTTGCAATAATCACAGTCGTTTTTGCACAGTTTCGCCTACATGGAACTAAGTGACAGTTTTCGATTCATCAATTGGGTTTTCTGTTGCTAGGCTACATCAGAATAGGATGCAGGGGGGGGGGTTCAGGGGCATAGGCATATTCTATTTTGTCACTTCTCGTATTGCCTTTTGAGGCACATTAATAAGAGATAATTGCTAAAATCAGTCTTCATGGTGTCTACACAGAATATATACATAAGGGGGAACATTGGGGCTGGAAGAGCTGCAGCCCTCCAAACCAGAAAACCCTCCAAACCAGAAAACATTTGTCGCATTAAATGCTCTATTTGGGCAGTTTTATCTCATTGAAGCAAAAACATTCAGGTAAGATCCATTCTAAGCCCCCTACACACCCACTTTTTATCCGCCACACCCACTAAAAAAAGGCACATTCAAATCCAAATGGAAATAAGCGAACGAGTCGGAAGTAGGCCTTTGCTTAAGCCTTTTTATCGCTTTTATTGTTCGAATCTGTCCCACCATACTTATATCTGGCTTATTTCAGATAGCTTTTCTGCCATTTGGAATTTTGCCCTTGACTTTCCTCACTGCATGTTTTTAGATAGTGCCTGTAGAAGCGGGGAATTTTTTGAACATCCCTTTTTATCTCTAGGATGAAATAAGCTCTTTTGTTTACTGTCACGTAGATCTATAATCTTTTTCATATGTATACACTATATTCGCCCTATAATTGATATTCTTCACCCTATCATTGAGTTTAAGTTTAGAAGCTAAAAGCAACCCAGAAGACCTTCAAATGCCTTGATTGAAAAATTCAAAAGCTGAGGAATCGCTGGTTATAGGTTGTGATAAATGAAATGTTAAGCGTATAGCACTTATTTGTTAGGGAAGACATTAACAACACAATTTCACTCGTGCGTTAATCATTTGTATAAAGCAATCGAGAGGCTTTAGCTTTGAAAATAGCACGGAATAGCGGGAAGATAGCATAATTCATCGCCAGTTTCAAATTTTGCTTTGCCAATTTGCATTTATAATTTGCTAACCTTTAATTCACAGAACTGTCTTGAAGCAATGCAGAAAGTCAGGTTCTTCACAAACAAAGACGGCATCCAGAGTCAATAAACAATTGTTGTATGGCATTGCTATAGATGCCTCAAATAAGGTATGTTTAAAATTGTCTTTGATGCCTCATTCAAAATAAGATCCCTCCTTCAGTTAGCATCTCTCTAATAACGAAAGGCGTTCTACGATGGTAAATTATTAGCGCATCGTGACCCCATTCCCTGAATATTGATGATCAAGGTTGTTTTTGATTTATTATCGTTAATTATGTATTTTATTTATGTAACTTGCTTTGAGTGCTAAGTCGAAGACGAGAACAGCTTCGTTATGCGTTGATGTTTAACTGCTTCACAGTATCAATAACGTTTTGAAAGCGCATTTGTGCAAGGACATATTTCCTTTTATGAAAACCCTTTGGGCTGACTGCAGATAATCTTGATGCTACGTTTGCAAACACTTTTTGACTTCTTCCCTTTACGTGCATCCAGATCAATCACAGATCTTCTGAAAAAATGCCTAACTCTAATGTCGTGGAAGGAGTTCTTGTATTTAATCAAGATATTTCACATATTACCTTACTATATTATGTTTGAAATGTTTGTTGCTCTATCAGGTGATTTTATTAGCCTTCTCAAATAAAGCCCTCTTACATCAAACTCTGAAATGTTAGTCGCTCTTCTCACTCAACTTTGAATCGTTTTAAGCTACTGTTGAAATGGCTGTTCCATCTGGTTTTTTAAGACTTAATGATATCTTTAGAATCAAATCAGTCAACACGATCACCAACATTTCGTTCATGGTCATGTTTATAGCAAAGTTATGAAATAATTATCGTTTTGTCGCATTTCAAGATTAATACAGATGGATGAATAAAAAACAAAGCATTTCAGCTGAAACTGTACTTGCTAAAATATTTTTGAAATTATGTCAGATAATGATTGGCACATAGAAGTTCCTCAGAATTTTTTTGTAAAACAATAACGATGTGGATCAAGCTGTAGGCTTACTCTACGTGTCCATACAGTTTTAGAAAAGAAAAGATATCTCCAACGAATTTTAAGGATGGGCGACTCTTCTGTCAATGAATGTGCTCTAGCGCTCCTTTCAAAACGCAATCCTTTAAAAGTTGTTAATCCAATAGACGTTCTTTGGTTTTATTTCAGAAATAAAGGACAGCTATCATAAGTAGGCCGTTATTAGTGATAAAACTACCATAAAACTATCAAGGAATATTGATGAGTATTTTGTTTGAATATGTTTTTAAGCGATATGAAGAAACATTCAGCTTACAACTTGTGTTTGGAATAGAAAAAGCCAACAACAACGCCACAACCTTGAGTCTGGATACTTTTAATATTACCCATGTATAAACGTTTTAGCAAATTTGATATCTTGTTTTCAGTTTTCGCTATCGCAATCTAATCTCGTTGTTGTCTTGTACTAAAGCTGCAACTTGTATTTTGACCTCATAACATTGGGCCATTATTAGTCACAGTCTGTTGTCTCGCAGTTCAACAGTGCCAGCTTATGTTATTATAGTCAAAACCAAATTTGATCAATTTACTTAGCCTACAAGTCCACGCATCTTCGCACGTTTCCAAGAAATCTTTCATAACTTATGTTCTATGCTACATATCAAGAAACATTTCTATACGATCATTGAAAAACAAACGATTTAAAACGCCTAGCAATGCTTACAAGGGTTAGGTAGGTAGAACTAGTTTAGAGTTCTCAATTTCTAAACATCAAGTCAACAACACCTTATAGTATTTTCTATGATGTGTCTTTTATCTTTAGAGTAAAAATGCACAATTTATGCACAATTTTTAAAGTGATCAAAGCAATCAGTTCTTTATGATTTAATAAGATGACTTAAAATTTCGTTTGACTCTGTAGCTACAACGTTTATTTCATTTATCGTAGACGAAAGTCTATTTATTCTAATTGAAAGATGCAAAATGAGGTTTCATAGCATTATAATTTACCATGATGAGATTGCCTCTGATGAAATTTAATTGATAACGATTTTAGGCAATGGATACTGCAACATCAAACACACTGACTTGTCTGCAGCGTTGATCTATTTACAATTTTACATAATTTACTTAAAAACTTGAAAACAAACCTAATCAAACTGCAGGAAGCTCCCTCGACGTCAGAATCCTCAACCGTTTAGTTGGATGCCAAAAATTTAGGATCAACTTCCATAAATTTCTAATAATTATATTTAGCTATTTCGTTGAAAAAACTGCCGCCCGTGCCTTGAAGAACTGTGAATGATCAGCGGATAATTGCTCTTCTAAAGCCAAAAGCGTAATAAATAGGACAGCTGCTTTCAAGACATAATGAAAACAGAACGATTCGCCAAGACGCGGTAGAGCAGATGGCAATAGAAGTAAACGAAAATTATACCACTCTTTAATGTGCTTCATGCTAGCCAATAAACAACTTCGTTTTGTTGCATGGCTAAGTGTCATAGCTTAAGCGAAAACCAACAGAATCATTCGTTAATTTGAAGGTGCTTTTCTTACGTTTTTTAATGTACCAAAATGGCAATACTAAACTGCTTGCTTTCAATGCAATCATTAAATCAATTGTATGGAACGCTAGGGTTAGAAGCCCGGGGAGAGGAGGGACAAAGATTTGAAGAAGGGCTTAGTTACACTTGACGTTTGTCAAAAGAATCAATTGAAGTAATGGGCTTTCCATCCTGCCTCGGAGCCCATGGAACATTGAAAATTTTAAAAGCATCATGAATTAAAGCATGAAGGATATACCATCTCGGAATACCTTGTCAATGCTTTCTTTTCCAAATGTATGAAACTTTCATCATACATTCATAAGGAGTTATGCCCCGAGATTCTCTTAAGGTTTTACACTTACGGTCCGAGAGTATTGCATTCTTTGCTAGAAAATGGCCGTCAGCCGCCAAAGTATTTTAACTAAAAAAATTCGAATAACCGTAACAAGTAACAGAAAGTTTTGATAAGTTAAAGCGGGAAATGATATAAAATTTATCGAGGAATTGTAATTAAGATATAAATTGCAAAAAATTTTCGAGTTTCTTCTATTTCTGAACAATATCCATGATTATGAAAACACAAAAATTGAGCTTTGATGATCGGTGTAACTGTAAAATATATCCAATGAAAAAACTTTTCTTTGCCTGAGGGATTTTGTTATGGTGAATTTAGATATACGTACTTTGTGCTTGGGTGTCTAAAAATATTGTTGAAACATTGCAGTCTGCGTAGCTGTTTCTAAATTCCGAAGTTCCCAAGCTGTGTTTTGGTGTTCCACTTTGATAAAATTGAGACCCTACTTCAATCTCTTTTCCGAATTGCTCTTTTAATCGCTAGGTGATTTAGAAAGTGAAGACATTTTTTCTTTTATAGAAAAGACAGGCCTTACAAATGCTTGCTTTTCGGAAACAAACGTTTATAGCCAGCACCAGGAAAACTAAAGGCATATTTCCTGACTTTAAACATACAGCCTGGGTCTAAAGACCCTCTCTCAGAGTCCCCGATAATTTCAGCCCTTGAGGCAATGTGCCCTAAAAATGATTTCCAGGCATGATTCGCCCTTTCATCAAGCATGACACGCCTTTTGTCGGGCATCTAAGCTTCATACCCCCCTAATAAAAATAGTGAAGTTTCGCCCCTGTGAACCACCACTTCATTGCAAGCATTTTGGCATTGTAATGAAAAAGCAACATAAATGCTTCAATTAAAGCATATAATTTTTAATATAAAGAGAGAATATTTTATGGACCTTATTTTACAAAGATGAGCCTTATTTTACAAAAACGTAAGAAAGCATACGCTTGCTAGAGTCTTGAAAGAAAAATTTTGGAAATATTGTTTTCAGAAAATCCTTATACTTTTGACTTCCTTTTAAAATGATAGAAACGATTGGAAGCGCTTGAAAATGAAATAGAATGTCTATTGAAATCATTTTTGTCAGGATACGCAAACATATTTCCATTTGTCTTCAAAATATTGTTAAGTTGTTAACCCTCTACAGTCGTTACACCAAATTGTAGCCTAAGGGGTAAAAATCTGGACATAATTTTACTTCAAGTGTTGTGCCAAAATGTAAGATAGATCAGCACAAATTTTATTGAATGGATTTCTTGGTTTGGATCCTCAAGATATTTTATTTTCAAAGTGTCTCCCAACAGACAATTTTTTTCTTTGTGCATGGTTCGTGGTTTTACGAATAGGAGCATCATCCACCTGACACTTAATGCTGCCTGATTTCGATTACCGATTCTGATAAAGGACACATCTATTTGTAAGTTGTTTATAGCATAAATGCATTTTTATTAGCAGAGAACTTTGCGCTGGTTCCCCACAGGGCCCGCGCCACTTATCCCAAACTGGAGGGGCCAGCAGTGTAAAGAAAGGTTGCACTCCCCCCTTTAGCTTCAATTGTGGCAATCATTTTGCTGACGTTGTTTTACTTGTGGGCTGGTTCAATGTATTCGTTGTAATCTAAAGGTTTATCTGTATAAATACATTTTAGCTGACTTTGGTATTTTATGTAGCAAAAAAGTAGGGAGGCCATGGCCCCCTTGTGGTGTGGGACCTGCCCAATGTGCACAAAGAAGTAGCAACTTCGATTTTAGTAGCTTCATGGATCAATAAAGATCAAATGATTGGACAGGGCTGAATATTTATGAAAGTGATAGAGTATAAAATAAAAGTTTTGATTGAAATTTTAGCTAATCGCCTTATCAAGCGACAGATTATCAGAAATAAATTTAAAGGATTTTGACAGCGACAAAATATAATTGAAGCCATAACTGCAATGGCTATTCTTATTGTCAAATAAAATTCACCTAGCTAGAGAGTTTGGATGGCAGTGCAAGAAAACAAACTAACTGAAATAATCCTATGTTTATATTTGTTTCAATGCTAACTGCCCGAAGCAGCTGTCATTCCAGCACTACGCTGTCTGTTGCGAAAATATATTTCTATTACGTACCAAGACAAAAGTAGATATGTATTGTACCAGTCCAAATTCCGACACACTGTGATCGATGTCTGTCAAACAGCTGTCTCGAATATACAGGTACTACCTCTTGACTCCTTGAGAATAGTTGATTTCTTGTTTGATAATAGTTGATGTCGTTTATATTTTCATTTTGAACAGCAGCACATCGCTCGAAATAAATTACTGGAGGTCTTACATCGTCGCCGCAAAATTATGCACGCCCTATTTCTGCTAAATAAGGAAGCCCAGTAAAAAATGTCTGTGCGAATTTTCTTCTTAACGATTTTCTCTGCCCAGTATTCAAAAGCCTATTCGTGAAATTATTCCTTGTGAAACAGTTTGACAACCAACAAGTAAAATGACTTGGCCACTTTCAATTGAATCTGCGTTTAAAAGTGAATGCTCAAAAGAAAAACGACTTAGTCAGCTAAATGTCGTTCAGTATTCTTCAGAACAAAAATATAACAAAAGACTGAAAGTTCACGGGGAAGAAGAATATTTTGTTCTTTTTTGAAGATAGCAAAATATATACAGAGAGGATGAACATGTTTCCGTAATACTATGAACGCATATAGATATTGCAAACTAGGAAGGATATTTTTCCGAAATACTTCGAATGCATCTAGATATTGAAGCTAGAAAGAATAATTTTCCATAAAACTTCGAACGCATCTAGATATTGAAAGTTAGGAAGAATATTTTTCCATAATACTTCGAACGCATCTAGATATTGAAGCAAGGAAGAATATTTTCCTGTAATACTATGAACGCATCTAGATATTGAAAGCTAGGAAGAAAATGTTTCCATAATACTTCGATCGCATCTAGATATTGCAAACTAGGAAGAACATTTTTCCGTTATACTTCGAATGCATCTAGATATTGAAGCTAGAAAGAATATTCTCCCGTAATACTAGAACGCATCTAGATATTGAAAATTAGGAAGAAATTTTTCCATAATACTTCGAACGAATTAAGATATTGAAAGCTAGGAAGAATAATTTTCCATAATACGTGGAACGCATTTAGATATTGAAGCTAGAAAGAATATTTTTCAATAATACTTCGAACGCATCTAGATATTGAAAATTAGGAAGAAATTTTTCCATAGTACTTCGAACGAATTAAGATATTGAAAGCTAGGAAGAATAATTTTCCATAATACGTGGAACGCATTTAGATATTGAAGCTAGGAAGAATATTTTTCCATAATACTTCGAACGCATCTAGATATTGAAGCTAGGAAGAATATTTTTTCGTTATACTTCGAATGGATCTAGATATTGAAGCTAGAAAGAATATTTTTCCATAATACTAGAACGCATCTAGATATTGAAAGTTAGGGAGAATATTTTTCCATAATACTTCGAACGCATCTAGATATTGAAGCTAGGAAGAATATTTTTCCGTTATACTTCGAATGGATCTAGATATTGAAGCTAGAAAGAATATTTTTCCATAATACTAGAACGCATCTAGATATTGAAGCTAGAAATAATATTTTTCCGTTATACTTCGAACGCATCTAGATATTGAAGCTAGGAAGAACTTTTTTCTATAATACTTCCAACGTATCTAGATATTGAAGCTAGGAATGAAATTTTTACGTAATACTTCGAACACATCTAGATATTGAAGCTAGAAAGAATGTTATCAACCAAATAAATTTTTGGGTACCGAAAAGTTTCAAGATATGAAATATGTTCAAAGCTAAGGCCATTTTATATAATCCCAATTTTTTCAAACTTCAGCTAGATTGTTTATCAAATGTCATTTTACTTGACTGCAAACGATCAAAACTGTGTTGAGTCGTTACCCCCAACTATTTTAAAGAAAGTTAGCATTTGTTCAGTGCAATATCTTGCAAATTTTCAGAATGTCATTTCAACTCAGGTATCACCATTGCATCATGAATAATCAGCAGTACATAGATGACAGTTAGGTCAAGTCATAACCTGCCATGAGCAAATGTTTTAAGTTCCTGCCTCAAGAAACTTGAATCAGTACTAAACACTTAAAGCTTGTTATTTTGGCATATTTTGGTATTTTGATTCTGAAGGATTCTTAGTTTTCCTATTTTCGGCATCTAGAATTGCTTTCTTGTTTTGAAGTTGAGGAAATTCTTGTTTCTTGTTTTGGAAGAATATCGAACGAAAAAAATCCCATGTAAAAAAATTCCACCATTTCCAAACAAATCAACAACAAAAAACATAAAAAATTATGGCCTCTTTTTTGAAAAATAGAAATTTTACAGTTTCTGAATTTTTCTTGAGCCTAGTACTAAAGCTTCTTTCATTGTTTGCAATCCTGGTACTAGTTTCTTATAAACCAGTTTCTTCTAAATAAAAGAACGTGTATATGATGTTTTAGGCTTGTCTCCACCTGACGAGTTCTGCATTATAGATAGGTTGATAAATTCATTTAGCTTGTCAAATTTTCGCGCTTAGGGAAATTATGATCTAAGACCCATGGTAGCGATAAACATGTGGATGCAGGAAAAAACAGTGTTGATGTTATGAAAGAAGTGATCTGTTCTGCAATTACCAATGCAAGAATATCTGGTGAGTCAATCTCAATGGAATCTGCGGCATACTTTATAAGCTATAAAACCCCTTCTACGTTTCCAACCAGCGTATTTCCCATGCATAATTTATGCCAAAACTTATTTCATTGTTTATGCAAACACAGCGGTAAGCTTTATAAGATCCATTCGGGAATCAACAAAGGTCATTGAAAATCGCCCATCTGGTGCCATCATGGTAAACGAGATATTAAAAACAAACCGAATAATTATTTCAAATGAAGACAGATTTTATTCTTTCGACATTTGAACCATTGATCTAAGACTTACTAATCAAAAACTAATTTTCTTTGCTCTGATGTTCAAATTGTGTTTTTAAGCCTCTGCTGGTATGCTATAGATAAAATTTAAAATTGTATGAATAGTGAAAAACGCAAAGCCTTAAGATCTAGCTATTGTCTTTGTCATTGCAAAACATTTTTTTTGAGAAGAGATTTTCAAAACATTATTCAGAAAGCTCAGTACTGCAAGACTTATCTTTGAATCTTGAACGCGTTGAGGTATTGAAAAAATCAGGCCAAAAGTTTCACAACGACGTTAAATTTAAAGATTGAAACATTCATCGGGATTGTAATAACCGAATATGAAAATGGTAAGGTAATAATGCGATTTTCACAAAAATAATCAGAACGGTCATGACCTGAAGATAGGTTTACAAAACAAGGCATCATATCTTATGGACCTTTAAAATCGCTAGTTATTTCTCAGAAGCACACTTTAAAATGTAGCAAAATTCATTATTAAAAACACAGATTTATAACATAGCTAGGGGAATTAAAACGTCTGGAATGCAGAGCGCTTATTTTTGAAAGCTTCTTGACGAACTTTTTTCTCTTCGGCTTGTTTCTTTTTCTCTTCTTGCTCGAGCCTCATTTCCATTTCGAATTTACTTCCAGCTTGCGCTTGCATCATTTTTGCTTCGAAGAAATCCTTTGCACCTTTTACCCCTGTTTCATCGACGTCAATTTCAGTCAACCGCGCGAGCTCACATAGGCCTGAGCCTGCTTCGAGTAAGCCTTCCGCTGCTTTGCGGAAAATCAGAAGAAACTGCAAAAGATAGGAAATAAATCAAAATTGACTTGAGTAACTATTGTTGCTTTAAAGAATGAAAGAAATGGTGTTTTCAGAAGAAGATATAGTGAAAGCATTCGCATTCTTCGACAAAATCATAATAATGATAATAATATTTTTTTAATTTTTATGACGTCGTTTGATGTTTCCTTCTTTTTCTTTAAGATCTTTTCTACCTAAAACCAGTTGCGGTATTCACTATGTTTTATTGGTTTCACACAGGGGCGGTCTGACCCGTGCTCAGTTTAAGGCACCATACCTAACAAATTTGCCACGCCTCTTTTTTCTTTCGCGATTTTAAGTAAACAAGATGGGTTTTATAAACAAGGAAAATATTGTACAAAATAAGGGAATGTTTTTGATGAAAATTCAGCAAATGCTCTGCTTAATTTGTAACATTAATTCCTAAACTCACCGAATGAAAAATGTTTCTTTTTAAAACAACCCCTAATAAAATGCTGAAAAAGATGAAGAATTCAAAGGATGACCTAAGTATTTTTGAATTAATGTTGCATACCCTAACAGGGGGAAGTAGGAGATGGTGAATGATCTGGCAGCAGGATGTTTTCTTCTTGAAAAATCAGCTAGGGGCCTAATGTTTTCTTCCAGTGATGATAAGTGATTAAGGCTAATGATGAATCATGGTAGTGATAATGGTGATTGCTGATGATTGATAATGATTGATGATAATTTATGATGATAAATGATCATGATAATAATAATGTATCGTGATAACCAATGATCATAATAATGATGATGTATCGTGATAACCAATGATCATAATAATGATGATGTATTGTGATAATCAATGAGCATGATAACGATGATATGTTTTGATGATTGATATCAATATCATCAATTATTTTTATGATTATGATCATGATAATGATGATGCATCGTGATAACCAATGATCATAATAATGATGATGTATCGTGATATCAATATCATTAATTATTTTTATGATTATGACGAACAATAATAAAATTGATTAACATCATGCACATGGTTTAGATTTAATGTTCATATAGTGATTTCTATGTAGAATGATCATTTTGTACCTCTCGGAAAGATATTTTCCCATCCTGATCTTCATCAACTTCTTTGATCATGTTTTTCAGTCCAAGGTATGTCTGTGGTGCTCCAAGTTTCTCCATCATAACTTGCAGTTCTTTCTGGTCAATAAATTTATCGCCACCAGTATCATACCTATGAAAGCAATTGAAAATTATGCATTGAGATGAAATTACAAGGCCATATGCAAGGAAATTTTTATTTTTTTAGAATCTTTTATGACAGATACTTAATCTGAAGAAAATTGTTTGGCAGCTTAAAATTCAACCCCTTCCTGATGAGCTCAAAAAGCTCTGTTGCCTTGCCTGGTACAAAGGATGAATCATAGCTAGGTGGTTGACATCAAAGGTATATCCTTTGTCTTCAGAGATTTTCTATTTATAGGGAGTGTCTGTAAGCACAAAATAATCACCAAGTTTAGATGGGCTTTAGAATATCTTATGACAATGTTCTCTACACCAACAGTCGAATTGCTTTGGGCCTTTTGGGAAAAACATAAACAGTAGCAGTGTTTTTCCAAGTAGAAAATTCAATTGATAACAGAGAGTTATTTGTAAAGGGCAAAAACAGAACTTAAAGGCAGTGTGATACAAAGTTTGTAGTTGCATGTGTATTTGTTAAAATTACTGATGATATGCAAGACGAATTGCGCTTTTCTTGGATCTGTTTGGTTAAGACTGTTCCACATGTACTGTGGGTGTCTTAGACCGAGCTAAACCACTTCTGGGGTATGCTATGTGCATGGACACACTGCCTTTAAAATTGCAAGGTATCATAATGTTTAAATAACATTCTGAGACTGTAGATAAAATTACAGAGTGATGTCATCATTCATAACTCTGACAGATTTACTGGATAACCACCTCCTTTGAATGAAATTACCTTAACAGCCTTGATACCTAAATACAAATAGGGGTGATAATTTTAAAAAAGCAACCTTCCTAAAAATTACATTTTATCACAAAATTTCAAAGAAACAAAAAAGGCACAGATTAGGTAATAAAAATTAACATTGTATTGAGTGACCTGACCATATTTTGTACAAAAAGCTATTAGGTATTCAAGAATTAGGAAATATTCTCACACTTGCTCAAAAAATATATGCCCTTTATATCAATCTAAAACGTGCATAGGAACATACCTTGTAGGGTTTGCCCAACCCCACATGGGAGATTTGGCACAATTTTTTAAAGATAAAACATTGCAAAAAGGATAACACTCGTTGCTTTGCCTGACACAACCACTTTCTGGACGATGACCTTCAGAAGCTCACCAAGATAACACGCGTACAATAAGCTGCAACTGTTTCCTAAACATAATACACTGTTTATCTTTGACTCTTCCAGCTTCCGACTGCGCAGCAATACCCTAAAGTATTTAGGCAAACAGTTTTGATAGCTGTGTAAACAACTATACATATTCTGTTTCTCCAGACATTTTATCCACGAGCTTTATCAAACAGAAAAAGGTTTACTCATTTGTACGATTTGCTTATCTAAGATTATTAAAATTTTATCGAAAGTAAAGGATGTTGATCACATAGATGCCAATATTTCTCCTGCATATCATCGCCTTATACTCACGTAGTGAAGATTTTTTCGTAGTCCATAATTTGCTTCCGTGTGAATTCCTGGAACTCCATGAACACGTTAGATACCTTCCTCATCTTTTTCTCTCCAACTCCTTCGTTGAGAGCATTGCGATGAGCGAGTTTTTCGGCTAGCTCAGACATGTTGTGGCAAACCAATTTGAACCTCCTGTTCTGAATGCATGCAGGCAAGCAGCGTCTTCGCCGTTGTCCTTTTGCTTTTCTGCATTCACATCGCGTCGTCCCGCAGAGCACGCTGAAGCTCGCAGAGCTGGCATCAAAGTTTCCGCAGAAGTAGAGTAGGGTTTATTGAACTTTGTAGGGCTCAAAGTATTTCTGGCCCCACAAATACACTATTTTAAGGAACACATAATCATCAAGGAACACATGATATAAAGGCCCCAAGCTTACAGCAGTGCTAGTCTATGTCCACTTGATCTATATATAGGACATTCAGCGGCTTTATCCCAGGTTTTGGACAAAGACTCCTGTATCTCGGAAAAGCGTCCTCTTCAGCCCGATCAACATTTTTTTTAACTCTACGCCAAAAACTGGTCTAGAAATTTGGTTTGGTAAAGTTCCACCTCGGATGGTCATCGACAGCTCGTTCACAGGCTATACCCCAGTTCTGGACAAAACCCCCTGAATCTCGGAAAAGCAGCTTCTCCCACCTAATGAACATTCAGCTTTGAATTCTGCACCAAAACCTGGTTTAGAAAAAGTTGTTCTTGTAATTTTTTTCGTCGGCTGAACATTGTTAGCTCATTCACAGGCTGCATCCCGGTTTTTGACAAAACCCCCTGAATCTCAGAAAAGCATCCTCTCCCATCCTATCAACATTTCTTTTTGAATTCTACACCGAAAACTAGTCTTGAAATAGTTGGTTTGGTAAAGTTCCTCTTCAGGTGGTCATTGACAGCTCGTTCACAGGCTGCATCCCATTTTTGGACAAAACCCCCCTGAATATCGGAAAAGCCACTTCTCCCGCCTGATCAACATCGAGATTTAAATGCTACACCAAAAACAGGTCTAGAAAAAGTTAGCCTGGTAAAGTCCCTCTTTGGGTGGTAATGTTTCCCCTTGTCCCTCTGGACTCTAGCCATATCCATTTAAAAAATGTTACTAATCATAATTTGTTCCTTCATTTTTCTTTACAAAAATATTATAGACTTGAGATATTAAATTATTGTATCACTAAAGTCACCTACTCCAGGGTAACGGTCTGGTACACTAATTAAAAAATAAACAGATAACCACTTTTGAGATTTTAATTGATTGGCGGCAACTAATAGCCGTTAGCTTGCTTCTTATAGCAAGCTTTTTTGCAATGCACTCTTTTTTAGCAAGAATCAGTAAATTTAAGTTCAGGCTGACTGTCCTTAAATTTTTCAAAGATCTGAAGCTGAATTGTTAATTTGTTCTTAAATTGATAGGGTGTAAGCAGTGTGATTGCTAGTTTTTTCGCCCTGGGGAAGTGTTCAGGCCTCATTTTCCAACAAAGTGAGTGAGACAACCTCCATTTGCCAACAAATTTGAATATTCACCGAAAAAACACACACGCATGGCTAAAAATCCTCGTTTTTTGAGAAAAAACCTTGTTGAAAATTCAATTTTACAGTAGCTCAGCCTCAGCTTGTATTAATTTGTTCTTAACCTATGACCAATTTTAAGGCTCGTGTTCTTATAAAATTGTTCTTATAAAAAAAGATTAAAATAAAGTCGACTATGAACAAAGAAATCTTTCCAATGACCAACCATGACCAACAAAATAAATGAATTACAGGTTAAAATTTGGTCAAACTTCCTAATTACTGCTAAGGTCTCCGCTTCATGACCAACCTTCTTGCATTCTGCAAAAGTTGAGGAAGCGTGACGCCCCCTATACGTCCCCACGCCCCCACCCTATCGGCACATCCCTGGTCCTGATGATGATTGAGAAACAAAAAGGAATTTGGTATATAACATTTAGTTCTTTGAATCAATGAAAATTTAATATGTTGAATAAAATTTACAAACATTCTAATGTCTTAACATCAAACTAACTGCGTAAAACTGCATAGACTTCTTTTTCAACGTTGAACTATATACAAAACACTAAAATAGGAATAGCAAAACGACTCAAACAAGTTAGCTAACATCTCTAGCTACCATCTTTGTAATTTTTTTCTACCACCTTTCCGAGGGTGCAGTTGATAAGGAGGCAGGGTCATAGGATACATTACATAGCCTCAAGAACGAAATTTGTTAGAAAATTTCAGAAAGTATATTACCTTATCTTTGTCCTCTTTGCCCTGAATTGTAAAGCTCTGTTAATGATTTTTAGTTGGAGAAGGCATTGGATGTCACTGAACCCGATTCTTTTATAACGAAATATTGGACCGCTGTCATTTTAATTTAACATAAAAAGTGTCCTTTTTACAAGCGGACAACCCCTCACATCCCCTCTTAAATAATCACATTCATGTGCCTAGTGCATCTCCAGTTTTCTGTTTTACGATAAATTCTGCATTTGGTTACTATAGGATATTTTACAATAAACATCTAACTATTTACATTTTAAATGAGCCATACATTAGTCAACAGCGTTTAGCGATGACCAAGCAAATTTCTTCGCCGCCACAACCCCACAACAACGTTCATCATATAATAAATTTCAAAGTTATACCCCTTTGAATTGGGTAGCCAAATTTGCTACCAGTCTCCTTATAATCGCAGCCTGCACGTTGTTATCTAGAGATTCAAATTCCTGGTAGCAAGTTATTTTTGGCTCTAAAGATGCCTGGCATATAGCCTTCGCTTTGAGAGTTTCCAAGTTGTACTTTTTGGATATATCTAATAGATCAAGCGGGTGCACATCAACTGCATTTAAAAGAACCGTTTCGCATCTTGCAACAAGTTTGGTGCAATCCAATTTATATGCTACTTTAAGGACATCAAGAACTTCGATTTCTGAAAAAGAATAAAGAATAAAAGAAGGGATGATTGAAAAGGAATCCGAGAGCAGCAACACTCATTTTGGTTGAAAATGTGTAAAAGCATGTTTAAATGATTGTAAAATTTCTATCGATCTTGGTTAATTTCGTTTTACAACAGTTGTTAAATTTCATGCTTTTCACAACAATAAAGACTTGTCACATTCAATCCGCTCCTTTCAGAGGATTGTTTAATTTGTCTGAAGGTGTTTGTAGTAAGATTGTATGCGCAAATTGAAGACACTAGGGTGGCAAAAAATCAACTTTTGAGTTGAGAGGGTGACATTTTTAATCTGTACTACTCACCTGGAATATCGAGGTATTCGTCATGAAAGTATCTCAGAATGTCCTCCATGTCATGTGGATTTATACCCTTGACTTTCAACACTTGAAACGTATCATCATCTAATAACGATACGTTGGCAAGGATAGCTTTGAAGAACCCAGAATTTTCCCATAGCAGCATCCTCTTTACAGGAAATAGCAGCCCTTCCAAATCAAGAATCAGATCGGCTTCCTCAGTCGACCAGTGGCAATTTTCAATTATTATTTCTTCTGTTGACTGGATTTCCGAGTCATTTAAAATTTTGTCCAAATACGGTGAAATAAAGATCCCCGAGTCAATGCTACTGGCAGAAGAGAACAGTCTTCTTGTTCGCTTTGCTTTACATTCCTCTGCCTGATTCTGTTTGTCCGTCGTCGATTCTATTTTGCTGTCCGCCAAAAGGTTACATTCTGGAAAACTGCATACTTGCATGTCACCCATGCCATCGTGAAGATCCATTTTTGGTCCTTATACCAACTAATAAAGTAGCTCTTGTGAACCGTATCCTTCTTTGCGGCTCTTAGAACACTTAACCAATGAATATGTATCTTCGTGTTTTTGACTGCCTTGATGAAACCTTTCCCCACTGATCTGTAGCACCTTTCAGATTATAAGCTGGAGTTCGCCTAGTTTGAAATTCCTGCAGCTGAAGCCTATATTGCACCAGTTGGCTATAACTCCTCTTACCGGCAGCAAAGCGATCAGCCTCTAGTTTTAACACCATACGCATTTCAATCTGATTACACATTTCCTCAAGAGATATGAATTTAAATACTCCCCTTAGTAAAATTAATGCCACCCAAAGTTGTCGGCAAAGCTTTTCATAACGACGAATTTCAATCGCTTCCCACACCTATCGTTCTCCTTGGATCTAAGCAGGTCTCTTGCCAACCATTATACATTGAACAGTAATACATCTACCAAGTCATTGATGTGGGCACAATATTTACTAATGTAGAGGAGGGTATCAATAGTGTTAAAGTTTAGCGAATTAAGAATTACGTAGGATTGAAGAAAAACGTCTGTTACAAAGAATTGTTCTGCAGTTCTTTTCACGGTTTCAGAAAGTGGGCGAGCATACATTTAAGACAAAGCAAAGCCAAGTAAATCATCTACAATTTTATTAAGCTGCCTTCAAGATAGTGGGATGTTTCTAACTTTGGAACATGACTAAATCCATCAGAAAAAGCGGTGATACATGGCGGAAACCCCATACCTCAAGTCTGGCCCAAGATTTCCCTTGGAAAGATAAAAAACATTAACTTTCTCTAATGGAGGAAATGCTCGGGGGGGGGGGGGTAACTTAATAGGTTCGACGTACGGAGGACGTGCCATTATTTATGGATACCTTTTTCCAAAAAATTGTGGAATTATGGGTATCAGTTTTTCAATTAAGCCCTGCTCAAACGCATCCAAAATTTACGCACCCAAAAAATTAGAAAGTTCGTTGCTATTTTTGAGCGGGTGGTCAAACGCATCCAACATTTCGCCCAACATTTCATCCAACATTTCCATCACCGTGCATCGTCTGCGCAGCGACATGTTTGCAGCACTGATTCACAGATGATAAAAGGGCACCATCCCTGCTGTAAGTCACAGTCACATCAACATGTGACTCTCCACGTCAGTGCCACGCTCGCCCTAATCCCCCACCCTTTCCTCAGCTATTATTGAAATGTTGGATCGTTTGAACACCATCGTTGGATCACATTCCAACATAAAAGAAAAATGTTGGGCGAAATGTTGGGTGAAATGTTGGCTCGTTTGACCAGGGCTTTAACCTAACCAAAAGTTTCAAGCTGATTGATTTTCCCTGTATCAATACTCAGTAAGGGGTGAATTTTATATAGTCAGAAGAATGATAGAGAGACGACTACACTTGACAAAATCTGCATAAATGAAGCTGAAACAAAATCACGTTATGCAACACGTAGGAATGCATTCTTGATATACAATCTAAAAAACCGGCATTGTGTAGACAAAAGGAGTTCGTTTTCTCTCTTGGACTCCAGTGGTAAGTTTTCTTTAGGCACGCGGCACTGATTGGTCAACTATACCGGTCTTGCTCTTGCGTTTTTCCGATTGGCCTATTTCGATCCACAACTGGGTATATACTTTCCATTGTGTTCCTTCGGGCCCTTATTATTTTATTTTATACTCTGAGGAGTGGCAGATAAAACAGCTTTAATTAGTATGTTGTGAAATGTTTTAAAGCCATTTTCAAGCTCTATACGGCCAAAGCATTATTCACACCACATATTACAAGGCAGTCAAGTAGCTGCAGGGGGAGGGGGTGTGCCCCTTTAAATGAAAATTTTGACAACAGCTTGCCCTCTCTGACTACAGTTTTTCCAGATGATATTTTGAAAATTTGGCATATTTATAATTCCGTGAGCTTGATTAAGTCCAAAGTCCAAATATATCTGTTTGTTATATATCTGTTTTCTTGCTTTAAAGCCTGCCATCCCCCCCCCCCCCCCCCCTCAGGTATGGTTCTTGCTCGAGTTTGCCCACCCTAGCCAACATCTACAGCTGCGTTGTTGTAAGGCCTCTTAGATGTCAAAAAGTACTGGCAGGGGCGGACTGGCTGGTCGGGCTATTCGGGCGATCGCCCGAAGGGCCGGTCGGTTTAAGGGCCGATCGGTTTAAGGGCCGGTCGGTTTAAGGGCCGGTCGGTTTAAGGGCCGGTTGATAAGAGTGCAAAAAAATAAATTAGCTTAAAAAGTGAATACGAGGCAAAAAAGTACACCCATGCGTTAATCTGTTTGCCTTAAATTTTCAGAGACTTTGTGGGAAAGAATAAATATACACACTTCTTCAGGGAACATGTTATTGACATTTTGTTATATTTTCTCTTGACGGTATTTCCTTTTTGGCGACATATTATACTTTAACATCCCTGTTTCAATGCGATACATAAAGCGCCGGCAAAACGACTGGACATTTGCACTGGTCACACACTAGACATTGCTCATTTTTCAGAGTATGAACATCCAGAAAATATTGGTTATGGCAAAACGACTGAACATTGCCCAGTGAACTTTTTCCCTGTTGAAGAATGCGGGTGGGAAAACTGACAACAGGACATCTCTTTACCTTTGAAAATACACTTTTCATGGCCCTAACCGTGTTATCGTATGAATTAAAGTGCATTATTGAAAAGTGGCTAGGACTGCTAGGTTTATCAAAATCACCGTCCTCGTGCTCTCTGACATCGCTTTCCTTATCGCAACTAAAGCTAATCTGATCAGAAGATTCATCGTTACTAATTAAATGCCTTTTTCTGCTATTGGTCGAATTGAATTTTCACGTTGTTTCCATTTCGTTCGCGGTGTTGACTAGGAAAGTTTGTTGAAGATTTGAATATGGGAAATAAATTGACGCCAAATCCAAACCATTAATCGAGTTTGCGCGTGCGCGAACTGGACAATGTTCAGTAGAGTGGCAAAACGACTGAACAATTTCTGTACAACATCAGTGAGCAAAAGAAATTTAATCCTGTCCACTGAACATTTTTGGCTGCCTTCAAAATCGACTGAACAACATTCAACATCGCTGAACAACACTGGACAAGGTGGCAAAACGACGCAACATTTACGCTGGACATTTGTCCAGTCCATGTTCAGTGAAAATGTCCAGTCGTTTTGCTGAGGCTTGAGATTTTAACCTGCCCCGATGTCTTTTTACTTAGCTTTTGCTTGAAGCTGGTCATGTTTTTCCCTAAGCACAAGCTATTGCTAAATGTAATAAATTTAAAAGTCCAAAAATTAGAGTTCACTAAGCGATTTGCTCTGTGATGTGAAGTAATGAAGAGGACATGCGTAGAACAAGGAAAGAGCAAGAAGACTTCAACCAAAGGTGGTGCACAGAAATTTCGTGAGGAAAAGCTGCGAGACTTAAAAAAGGATTCAGCTACGATACAAAGCTTTTTTTTATCAAGCAAAAGCCACAAACGTCACAAAAAACAGCAGGGTCTTGCTCTTGCTCCTTTCAATAAACTCATACAAGTTATGGTAAATTTATTAGGCATATACTATCATAAGTCAAATGGACCCCCCGCCCAACAGGGGTATGGTGATACACGATAAAATTTCAACAGGGGTGCCCATGTTTTCTTTTTAGGTTAGAAATTGACAAATCGATATTTTTGGGCTGCTGAAAATCATTGTGGTTTTCCGGAGGATTAGAAAATTATTTGTCACAAGTTGAGTGTGATAGAAGCTTTTCCACTTTAAATATATAAAGAACAGATTACGTAGTAATTTTTCGCAGCCAAACCCGGAGTTCTTAGAAAAACACCTGTTAGATGACATCTAGAACGATCACATTATCAACATATAAGTTACTGTATTTAGAAAGGAAGTCAAACCAATAGTTAAATTTTTTGTTTATTTACTATTTAGTCAGCAAATGACTTATTCAACATGTTCTGTTAACCAGCATTCATCCATGCACACAATTACTGAATTTAAAAACTTGTTTTCCTTACAGACTAACATTTACTTGCATTTTCCGAGGAGTTTTTTATTTGATATTTTTGTGGGCCGGTTTCATCAAAATTTGCCCGGGCCAAAAAAATTAGCCAGTCCGCCCCTGAGTACTGGTACCTAGCAAGATGAGGATGTGAGCAAATAGCCCAGCTTCATAATGACAAAGTAAGCTTTTCTAGAGATGCAAATAATGCTTTAAACTTTTGAGGATTCCCAAAGTGACAGCTCTGATTTTCTGTCAGAATTTCATACTTTGTGAAGCAAGAAATACAGGAATGATCATATCAAATAGATTGATGGATGCCAGCAACTTTCAAGATTAAGAAGGCTGAAGATACCATTACATAGTAATAACTTGACTTTTGAGTCTTTTCTATCTCCTCAGCCGATCCACCATATCGTGAATTATGCTCAGTATACTCCTTTAGACCTGGGTAGCTCGGCACCCCTGCTCCCAGTGATAATGTCAGGAAGGGTGCATCAAAGCATTGTAACTGCAGTGTATGCAGGTGTATTCGGTAATATCTCCATAGTTGTAAACAGAAATACTTTTACACAAAGATATCCTGTGTAATTATACCGCGAGCTGAAAAAATGACGTTGGAGTTTAACATAATGTAGAGATGGATAAAGTTGGGGATCATGGCATTGAGGTGTGCTGCGATAGAATGTAATAGATATTATTATGCCTTTGTAGGGCTAGAACCGGGATCTGTGAACAAATATGGTGTAATTCTTTGTCTTTGCAAAAGTTCAATCACAACTGGAAGGAATCAAGATGTAGGAAGTTACAAGTATATAATGGTTTCTGGCAAAGAGAGGTCTTGATTCTTCCCTCTTTCATGAATTTCCGGATCTGTATCTTAGTCTGAAGCACTGGCTATAGTATTTGGGAAGCTTCCTTTTTTGCAGGTACTGCGAGGCAGGGGGACTCAGGTGCTATAGCTCCCTCACTTTTTGCCAAATATCTAAAAATAAAGGGGATACGAAGCGATTTATCCCACGTTGTCTGTCGGCACTTAAAGAAGTTTGGCAGGGCAGAAAAGACATTCCCGTAACTTTTTTGCAGCAATTGTAACATATTAAAGGACTTTTGCCACCTAATTTGGTGCCAAACTTTTTCCCCTTGATACTTAAATAAAAGCGATCTGAACATGTCTGCAAAATATTGCCACGATCTGGGGTTTTGTAACGGCTATTTAAATCTTGGTGGGAAACATATCACGTGATGCTGTGACGTAGAAGTTAACAACCTCGGCATTGAAAGCATTGCACTTAGACCAGTTGCTGAATGGGGAGCATTGCAACCTCCCAAGAAGAAAAGTTTTTGGATGATGTTTCTGAGGTAGTTTTGGGCGTAAAATTCAAAGGCGAAATTTTCATGTACCATTGTATAAATCGATTTTGTAAAGGAAACATGAGATAGCAATGCCTGAAGCAGTATATTTGCAAGCATATGCAATATTTTCTATGAGATCACAATTCCCAATTGTTTGAGAGACATGGGGAGTTTTTGGAAATCTTTTATTTAGGAACTTTTTTATTAAAATGGGTCGACTGTTTTGTTAATAGTAATAATTTATCCAAAGTAAAGAAATCTTTCTAAGTAAAGGAATCTACCTTATTGTGCTGCCTAGGTACGCACCCCGACAGTACGGGCTTTAGCACTGTTGGAGTGGAAAAATTTAACATAACACAAATTTTCAAGGAATGCGAAAAACAGGGATTGTGCAAGTACAACGCGTAATCTTCGTTAGAGGAAATTATTGGTATTCAGTTGTGGAAATGATGGAGGGCAGGGGGGCTAAAACATTTGCGTCAGAAAATTCTGGCTTTCGTTGGATATTTGACAAACGCTCAATGTGTCGGAAGCAAAAGCCCATCCAAGATTTTGTAGGCCTGGCCCAGCCAAATGGACGAACAGGGAATGAGTGTATTCCAAAAAATGGACTGCCGTCTGAAATATGTATTTTCTTAGTAAATAATTTTGAGAAGACTTTTAACTTATAACTGAAAGAATAAGAAACACTTATGTTATTGGTATAGGGGACAAGGAGGTTGTCAAATATTTAATCATTTAGCAGGTAGGCAATTCTACTTCTCCTTGGCTGAATAAAACAAACTTTTATAAAAAAACTTCTATTGTCAGGTTTTACTAACTGTATGCTGAATGCAGAAACCATAAGACGTTGAAAACAAAGCAAAAAAGCAATAATTTCTCAAGCAACGCTCCAATCCTAGATAAATTTCAATCGAAAAAGGATGAAGAACAGAGAATAGCAAGCTGCTAATATTTCACAAATCAAACCTTTTTCTCCATTTTAGCAGAAAAAAACTTTCCAGTCAGTATCTTCATTTTCTTTGCTCTAACGTGATCCCGTTTTTCCAACCACCATGTCCATTTCCTTTCTCTGGATGAATTTGTTGTTAAATTATTTTGTTTGCCGTGTTTTCCATTTTATAAACTTGGTTCCAAATTATAATGTACGACATCCCAAAACAATTTCCAATGACAAAATCTAATTCAAAATTACTCATTTTTGCAAAATAAATCAACTTTTTGTGTGAGTAGCAAAAAGCCTATGCATTTATGACGTACTTCCAGAAAAATTAAACATTGTAAGGCAACTCATGGAAACAAACACAGTTTGTTGCTTCCAGAAATGAAATCTGAATTGGGACGGAAAGCGTTTGCCTTCCAGGGTGCAAAGATTTCAATAAAATCCTAAAAAACACATAAAATCATGAATATATAAATTTCTGCAAGGATTCTGACTTTGACTTTTAACACTTTTATTTAGACTGAGTCAGTGCTTGTAAGACAGATTGTAAACATGTTTTCAAGAGACCTTTAGACTATTTTAAAGCATTTTATTGTAAAATTATATTAAATTATTCTTATAAAATATTTTAGGAACTCTAGGTTAACATGTCCTTGGTTGATAGCAGCAAATTATTATGATAAACAAGTTTACCTGTATAAATATGATTTTATTATTATTACTATCATTATTTCAAGTGTAGGCCTGTCTCCGCTTGTCAACTTCTACGTCATGTGGTCACGTGATCTTTCTGTAAATTGGCCTCTACGGCCCCCTCTAAAAGAAATTTTTGTCTGAAAACTTTGAAATGCTTAGTCCAGACCTATTTTCTACGGAATTCGTTAATAAAATGAGAGGGTAAAATAGGTGGCAAAAGTCCTTTAACATTTCTGTAGTAGTTGAACTTTCGAAGTATGGCACTTAAGTATAAATCTTTAAATAGAAACACATAAAAGCAGCAAAGCCGAATTTCGTTTTCGTCCAATTAGAATTTGTTTACAATTTTCTTTTAGTCAATTAGAGCCTGCTAATTTAGCCTGGTTTGTTTACAACTTTCTCAAGCACCCCTAGCTGTAGAGGAAAAGCACTAATGGAATTTGAGGCTGCCATAAAAAATATATACTTAAGATAAAATCAACCAAAATTAAAAATTTACAATGTTCATAAAATTTACTAATAAATTATCGCTGCCTTTGAGGAAATTCCTCGTAAAATTTCAGAAGTCACAGGCCAATCCTTTTTGTATCTCACGGGGGCCCATTTTGGAAACGCTGCGATATGGAAACGAAGGGACTATCTAAATTTACGGAACCAATACGATTTTATCATGGCGTGGTTTACCAAGTCAGAAGTCATAGTTTGCTTGGAACTTTTACCATGGCTATGATCAGCATTTGCTTAATTACTGTTGCTGTTATCGAATTTTTGAGAAAGTACAAATTTCTGCACGTTTTTGATACCTTGAAATATTGATTATTGATCACTGAAAGGGACCCGATGGTTCTGATGACGTAAGGTACTTTTCCCGCCAAAAGTATAAGTTTTTACAGCCTCTCACTGGTGTTGCCTTCCTCTCATCCATTCTCCATCACTGGCCTAAAAAGTTTTCTCCTTGTCTGCTGTCAATATTTATTGATGGAAAATTGTAAAAATGGCTGTAGCACTGACTACTGAATATCAGCAGTTTCCTACAGTTCTTTGCTTCAGACACTGTGAAGAAGGATCAAACGTGTCTTGTTTTGAAATACCATCGGGATGCCCATGTTGTGGGAGAAGTTTGAAATCAGCTAATTTTCTCGTTCCTCCTTTTGCTGTACCCACACCTTTCAGCTTCACCGATGATGGATGTCAAAGCAGCGACATTTCGCCTTGCAGTTTACTTATAAAACCAACTACTGGGAACTTTCTCACGTAAGAGCATGTTTGCAATTTAATGTGACACAAATGGATACATAGTAAAGCAATAGCCACAATAATCTATAACAAATTTCTATAGTTAAAATCACTGTTCGTTCACTATTTCTGATAGCCTAACTATCCAACCATTTAATAAAGTAAATATAATAAAGCAAGATTATTTTGAAAATCACATCACAGAAATTTTGTCAAAATATTACCCCACCCCAAGCATTTTCAGATTGAATTCAGCCAAAATATAGCATCAATCCTTCTAAATCTCACGACGAATATGCGCCAATAAACAATAGAAGGACAAGGGAAAATCATTAGTCCATGCCTGATATATCCGGTGTAAGCCACTCAAAGTTATAGATATCAATGGCTTCAAAAAATGAATGTGTTTATAAGACCCTGTTTACACTGTCCTGGGACAATTTTGTACCGTTACGTTTCGCAAGTGTTTACACTGTTGCGGTTCCAAATTGTTCCTTTTAGCCGTTCCACTTACACTGTACTGGTATGACCTTAATTTAATGGTAAAACATTTTTTAGAAGAAGCTGTATTTAGTCAACAAATGCTTTTATTTTGCTGCCGAAGTCAACAATCGAAATTCATTGAGAGCTAAAATGGAGTGGAAGGCCGATAAAAACTTACTTGGACGGTCGACTAGGTGGCTTTAGTTTTTCAGTGCTATTTTAGACTACAAAACTGCAAAGTCCAATCAAGGCTTCGACTGGGAAACTTCATGAAATTTTCTTCAGAATTTGACCACATAGTTACGCCACAATAAAAGCCTTGATTACCTGAAACAGCCATACAAAAGACCTCTTTGTCAATCCGTGACAAAATTGTCTTGGATAGGTGTTTACACTGTCCCATTCAAAAATGGAACCGTGACGGTACAAAATTCGTTCACTTTCAAAGCAGAGTCAAAACTGTTCCGGATAGCAAAGCAAAATCGGCACGGCTCCACAGTGCTAGTTTTAACGGAAGGGCAAACCACAACAGTTTTGTCATGGCTCCAAACATGCACCAGACAGTGTAAACAGGGAAATCTCATTTCTACATGAAAGCATTATTCATGTTGCGGCAAGTTTGATTTAGTCCACAGATTTTCCCTGATGAGTTGGTAGACTTATGTCAACATGCCCTAATAGAATGCAGTAAAATGGCTTTTTTAGCCAATATGTGATAAAATGTTTGTGTTTTACAAAGCCATTTTCAAATTTTTTACTTTTCTAGTATTACTATTAGGTACTATTAAGACAATATATAAGTAATCAGGCCTTGCCCGGAAAGGCGCTCGATCGAGCGCGCGCGCCTAGAGCGCACCCAAAAAAAGCCTTGGAGAGCGATTTATAGAGCCCCTCAAAACGTAAAAACAATATTAACGCGGAGCAAAAAAATTTTTGGAATTTATTAAATCAACTTGATCAAGCATAAACAATCTTCCCAACAGACCGCAATATTATGATTTGCGTAAGATTACCCCTTGAGAAAAAATTCAGCAAATTCAACGTTGGGTTTTCGATATCATTTTTAATCTGAAAACCCTCTAATAACCATCAAGGATACAGGCCATCAAGCAAGCGTATTCTCCGGCAGATTTATTTGATTTACGAGCAAGCGTTTATCTTCTATTGAAGTATATATTATTTTCTATTTTTTTAATAACTTAAAATCGCCTCTGCAAATCAGCGATCACGTTTCCGTCCAAAATATAGCATTGCTTTTCATTTTTAATTTGCTTTTGCGAGTAGTAGATGTTCTAGCGTTTCTTAGAGAATGGATAACATGAAAAAAGGAACAAAGTTGAATGTTCGATTTAAAGCCATGCGTATTGATGAAGCAATATGTGAAGGTAAACATAACAGTAGTGATACTGACACTGTTGAAAGCTCATCGAATGATGGCAAGTTACATATCTAGAAAAATCTGAACAATTTTGCGACTTTGTTTTATTATATTTCTATATTTATATTAACATAATGTTTGTTGCATATTTTGTTATTTCATATTATGGTGCTTTGTGGTATCACTGCTGAATTTCATATTTAACATTCTTCCGAAGCTTTCGATTTGAAGCTCTCGATCTCCTAAAGCTCTCGAAGGATGCTCTCAAGGACATTTACTTAGAGGTGCGAAATAGAGCGCCTAGAGTTTCTAAGGGGCTCTTTTTATGGAGCACCCTCATTTTACTTAGAGCAAGGCCTGAAGTAATTATTTTTTACTTTTACTGCCAAAAAACTGTTCATGTGAACATCCAGTAAAAAAGTACCGATTCCCATAATGGTGTGTTCAAAAATTATAAGTGTTTCATCACTTAAAAATTTGTTGGACCAGCATCCCCATAAATGTATATAGATATAAAAGGTAAAACGTTTTCTTGAATGTTTACTAACATAATTTTTACAAAATTTTATTAGGAAACAAAATGTTTATTTAGGTCCTACAAGGCAGGGGACAATCTTCATATTGGAATTACAGATTCTCAAGGTTAGATCATGGTACATTGTATCATAGATAAGTTATTGATAAAAATTCTTTTGTTCTTTGTTTTGAATTAAGGTTAATGCATTGAACATTATGCCACTCAATGGAAGTGGTCTAAATGCAAGAATCTCAGGAAAACACAGACCAAAAGTAACTTTTATACTTTGATGGTTGCAGTGTGGCAACATCTTTTTAAACTTGTTTTTTACTGATTGTTGCTGCAAGCCGCGATGCTGTAATGACAAAGGGGCAAGGGGGGCAGACTTTAGTAAACATGCATTAATTCCCAGCTACTAACAATTCTTTTGTAACTCATTTTTTTTGAACTTCTGTAGGTATCACGGAAATCGGCTAACTTGTGGATATTTCTTTACAAGTTTTGAGAAATGTCATCATTAGTAAGGCAGTGCAGTCAGAATTTCATGTAAATTTTTTGATAATTACAAATGGCCAATGTCAAGTGCACTTCAATGAAAAGAGTACTTTGGAGCCCCTTGCCCCTCCTTTCACAAAAGGCAATAAGGGCATACACCAAGATCATACCTGAATTATTATATATGCACTTTTATTATTTCATAACAGGGAATATTTTCAGCTATGATGAACATGGTGTCAAAATGGAAAAACAGCCTTGGAGCTATTGCTTAACTATAGAAGTAGTAAATGCAGAAATGACATCAGTTGCAACTGCTTGGAATTTAGCATTATACAAACAATCAAAACTACAAAAGTGGCAAATGGAAAAGTATGTTTCTTCAATTTATTATAATGCTTTGTCTATTTGTGGAATTGAGTTTAAGTTTTTGGTTAAACTCTTAGCAATTGCTTCCAATGTTTGAGGCAAAACAGTTTTATTAGCAGAGCATATGGCAAAGGTAATGGCTTGGCCAAGAAAGCAGTATTTGAATTCCTCACCGTATGATAGTATGTGTGGTTGTTGGATGGTACATGGGCTGCACCTTTAACTTTAAAGTATAGGCATGGAGGTGGCTATCATCATCATCAGGTACCATCTTCTATCAGAAGGTTGGCTACAATGACCCTCCAACTATCCCTAACCTCAGAATATCTTGGATACAGAAAGAGGTGGTATAGAAAAGAAATTTTTTATTCTCAATTGATTACAATATACAGCACTAAAAAGTGTTGGGGTCATGATTCCCTAGCTCAATAACTCTTTGCTCCCAAGCCCCTTGGCTCTAAATAAATTTTGCTTATGTCATTGTCATGAAAATATAATTTTTTATCAACTTTTCAGCTATGATGAAGAGAACCAAAATTGTTTTTCGTTTGTCTTGGAATTTCTAAACGACTTGCTGCACAAAGGTTATGACAAAGAAGAATTCTGTAATAGATTCATTTTGCCCCTCACAACAAAAGCTGCTAGCTACATAGGAGTCTACAGAAAAATTCTCACTGATGGATTGTTTGTTCATCAGAATTAACCTGGAAGATGTCAGCTTTTAGGTTTTGGGATTCTCCGAAAGTCAATCATGGTAGGCCAGTCAAAGGTTTTAGCTCTATATTTTTAGTTGCCAGTTTTGTATTTAGCCCAATATGTCTAAATCTTTGAGAATGTGTTACGTTTTCCAAAGTCTAGGTCTCTCAGGTCAATGCGAGTTTGAGTTTTCTCTGGCAAAGGCTTTATTCCAGTAGCCTAGCAAGGGGGCAAGTTGTGGGCAGTTGCCCCCAATTATTATCCTCAACGTTTATGCTGAAAACATAATGTTCCATCTGTTTCTTTAGAATTTGAATCTTAAATATTTTCCAAATATGTGACCTATCAAATTGAATAAACTTGTGAGATGCGATGCACCTGCTCAAGTTTGCTCTCCATTGAAAATATAAGGCATTTTTAGGGTATAGTTATGTTAAATGTGCTGTATAAATCAATTGATGATTCCACAAAAGCAACATTAATGCAATGGCTTGTGGAAGCAATTGATCTCAATTTCGGAATAGATAAAGGATGTGAAGAGAGTATGTATGTGTAGAATTATTGAATGTATAACACTGAATTTTGACTCAATAATTACAATTTTGAAGTAAAGCATAGTTGTAGAATTTTTTTAATGGCTATGGGCACCATTTTTGTGTACCGACCTTCAAAGCCTTTTGAAATGGCCAATATTTTATTATGGAAATCATTGGAATGTCTGTGCGCACAATTAAGTTTTATAATTAACAAGACTGAATATTGTTTGGCACGAAGATAAAAAAGTAAGAAAGCTTGTTAATATGATGAGTGATAATATATTAAAGACACAATAAACGTAATATGTGCATATTAAAGCTTTATAAGATTATAAACCCGCCAATTTTGTTGAAATTCAAACAAAATAAATTGCTTTTATGTGATTTCTTGGGCCGACCATGCCAAAAATGGTTAAGGGATTTAAAGAACTATTTTTTTGTACAGATTGGTATATGAAGTATATTGGAGCTGATGGCAAGTGACGTACGAAATGGTTAGATTTTTTACAACCCATTCTTGTCTAAAGCTCACGGTAAATTAAAAATTGTTTTTCTAGGGTCTTAATGTCTAGAACACATGACGCCTAAATGTGACATAAGGAAGCAGAGACTAGGTTTTTAAATTTTATTATAAATTTCTAATAATAATAATTATAATTACAGTGCATAACTATAATACAATATTCTATACACTTTACAATTTAAAACCTATTACATGACATCATAAGCTAATTTAAATGAATGAGTCTTTAACGACGATTTAAAATTATCAATATTGTCAACAGAACGAATTTCAAATGGAATAATGTTCCAAAGACTAGCTGCAGCATAGGCAAAAGTTCAGATCAAATAAGGCTGTACTTATATGGCCAAATTTAGGTAGTAGCAACACAACACGAGCAGTAGCATTTTGGACACGCTGCAGTCGGTCAATAAGATGCTTTGGCATGCCATAAAAGAGAGAGTTACAGCAATCCAAGTTGCTAGTAATGAATGCATGAACAAGAGTTTGGATTGCCTTGTTGCTAAGGAACTTCCGTAAACGTTTCAGTTTATACAATTGGTAAAATGCCTTACTGCATAATTTTGTAATGTGTTTGTCCATTTTCAAATCTTGATCAAAAGACACAAAAGGTTGTTCACTATTCCAACAGAAGCAATCACCTCATCACCTACTCTTATACCTTCAACAGAAACCTTTGACAGTTGTTGTCTTGTTCCCAGTAACATTACCTCCGTCTTTGAATCGTTGATCATGAGACGGTTAGCCAACATCCATTTCCCAACATCAGAAACACACATCTCCATGGCCTTAGTAGACTCTCTCTCGGAAACAGGCCCTGGTTTGAACCAGCTGGTGATCGTCTGCATTGCCATGAACATTTGGAAGGTGTTGACTAATGACATCATATAAAGAACTGATGTAAATAACAAACAGTACAGGCCCTAAACAGCTACCCTGAGGTACCCCGCAGTTCAAATGCATCTCTTCTGATATGGCATTATTCACAATAACTCTTTGTCTCCTTCCATCTAGATATGACCTAAACCAATTAAGAACTGTTCCACTTATACCGAAACGAGACTCCATTTTATTCAACAGCATTCCATGGTTCACAGTATCAAATGCAGCACTAAGATCTAGCATCGCCAGTAATGCCACATGCTGGTTATCCATAGCTGCAAACATATCCGACTGAACCTTTATCAAATCTGTCTCTGTGCTATGATCCCTCCTAAAAGCAGAGTCTTTTTCTGGTAATAATTCATCTGATTTGGTATGTTCATTCAACTTATTTGAATGAATAAAGCTGATTATTAGGTTTAAATGGCCTGTCGTATGAAAAGAAATGTAGCGGATAAAGCAAGAAATTGCAGTGGGCCATAGCTTGTTTTAATGTTTGATTTTAAGTTTCTTCTAAATCATAATTTCGAAGCCTTTAAACTTCAAACTGCGTTTAAATGTTGCACAACTTAATCGGTGAATAAAACCCTTGAAAAGTAATTGAATTGAAAAGTAAAACTGGCTAAGTCGTTGAAAGTTGCAATTTTCTGAATTAGAGAACTTCGTAACCAGTATTATAAGGATGAATTCTAGAGCAAACGTCTGTAAGCTGTGCATCTTTCCCAGAGAAGAATTACAAGATTGAATGATAGATTTATAAAAATTATACGATGTGAAAAACTTTAATCGTTACGAAAAGTTACGAAATTCGATGTCAGGAAATGACAAAATAAACTCCACAGCCCTGCAAAATTTTGCGATTTGAATCAGCTGTAATCATGTAAAAAATATCGCGCTGAATTACCCTGAGTAAGAAAAACATTAACCAAATAAAAATCTTGCAGATTACATGAAGTGATTTCATCAAAGAAAAATTCAACAGATTCAATGACAGCATTACCTCATCAGGGCCCAGCAATATATTAATGCTATCAAAGCGTGCTTGCTTTGAAATTTAGCGCTTATTAAAATTTGTGATGGACTGACAGAGTATTATTTTTTAATTGAAAATAGCACAAAGGTGATTCAAAGTTCGATTGATTTATTTTGGCACATGTTTTGTAAATATCATTTCATATGCATTTATTTTGCCTTTAAGCAATCTTTTTGCACATTGTCTTGAAACCGCACCCTGAAAGAAATTAACTTCAATTGACAATGACAAAGGAAACAACACATTGTTATTAATTTCTTGTTTTCATTCTAAGGTTAGACGCGAGAGTTCTTGGACGATGAATAAGAACGCTTTCTACTCCATTTGATTTCTGCAGTTGGCTGAGCCAGAGATTTTCGCCCACCAAGGTATGAGATTATTGTAATTAAATGTCTTTCTTACTATTATTATTTAATTAATAAAGGAAGTTTTAAGATATATTTGGCCTCTTGCCATTTGACACCGGAAGAGAAAAAATGTAGGTAAAATGTATCTTTTCAAAATAGGTTTCAGTGTTTTGTGAATAAACTTCTTAGCTTTAACTCTTATCTTTTATCAATCCACCAAGTGTATTTATATTGGATGATAGATGACATAGTGAGACGTTCTGAATCGGTAATCACACTGAAGAACTTCAGGAACTCTGAATCTTTGAGTTTTCCACGAAACTACACCTGAAAAAAATCCGTGCTTTAAACCCTTAGTAACCAAGAGGCGCTTTAAGACACCGCCTCTCACCTCGCCATTTTTTGGAAGAAAGTTCGTAAAGAGCTGCGTTATGCTTAGCCCCCAAGAACCCCAAAAGCAAACTTAATCCCCTTAAAGCTCCGACTCAACAGCAAAATGCGAGAAATTTACTTTTTGAAAGATATTTCAAGTAACGTATGGCCTGGAAAATATTCAGAACATCTCTCTTTATCTAATTTAGATGAATGAACGATCTTTAAAGAAGCAAAAGCTGTCTAATAAACTCTTATTAGGTACAACAAGAGTTAAACTTGCTTTTATTTAGGTTCAGCCGTTATTTGAATGTAGGTTTTTGTTTTTGACCAACAACATAACAAAATGTTGTAGAACGGATTTTCTTTCTACAATTGTAATCAATCGTCATTTGTTGCTTGAACTTAATGAAATTCACAAGTTAGACATCTTGTATTATTAAGCTTGCTTCTACTTTTATAGGCAATTGCTCTGCCTAAAATATATTTGCAATAAATGTTTGATAGTACAGGATTTAGAAATGGGTTTAAAAATGCAAACATTTTGAAACATACTACAGTCTTTCGTCTGACGCTCTTCAAACGTAGGAAATTTATATATCCAGTTGTGGGTGGAAATGGGCCAACAAGAAATGCTAGCACGTGACGGTTAAGGTACCCCTAATTAGTTCCACTTGTTAATTGAAAATATACCAATGGAGTCCAAAGGTGAAAATGTGCTCCCTCGGTCTACACAAAAGCGGCATTCCTTCTTTCATGTAGATAGATTCTAAAACTTCCAGATAGAGCGACGTAATAGTTTCGGAAGTGTTGTATAGGAAGTGTTATCCAATAGCAGAATCACAAGTTTGGTTGATCTGTTAAATCTGCAAGATCAAAAGGGTATTTCTCTCAGGAAAAGAGTTCTTTTGTTGGAATGGAAATGTTGTTTTAAACGTCGTTTGTCGTCTTCTTCAAAACAATTTTTAAAAGATATTTGATAGATGAAGGAAAAGGTAGTACTTACAATGTAGGCTTTTTACAATTAGCTAACGTGCTTGCCTAACATCTACTGTTGGTCTGAGATTAATGTTGCATGGCGTTCCTCTTATGGTTGATCCTGGACGCTCATGGGCTGGAAAGTGGGATGAATTTGCTCACAAACAGGCCCAAAGATTATGCGATCCTGCAACGGCTCGTCGTTTAAAAAATTTACATTTATGGCGATTATGTGATCGTCGTTTAAACAATTTACATTCCTAATCTTAGGTCATGTTCTATTTTGGACGTAACCGAAGGTTTTTAACCTATATCTTAGATTCTTGCACTCGTCATGCCCAAACTATAAAGACGATTTAATCATACTTGAATTCTAGTTTTATCATATCCCATATTCGATCTATTTAATGCTAGGGTCGTTAAAACAGAATCTCATAACTTGCATTCTCGGTTACCCTAGGTTTTCTTCAAGTTCAAATTGTTTTTCTTGTCAATTTAAGTGTCATCACACTCTAATCTTACTACTCGAACGCCCCTAGCAAAAGACAGAAACACACTAGCTTTGTGTCTTGAACAAAGCTGTTTAAAATTGAATATTTAACTTTAAGTAGATAAGATCTCCACCCTAAATCAAGCAATCGTCTCAAAACTCCACCCTAACAAGGTCGGCCACATGATTAATCTTTATCCATTATATCCCAGGGTGTTATTTTTCCATGTACTTTACGTGTCCCCAATGTTTTTAAGAAACTTCCTGTGAAAATTTTATGAAATAGTTGCAATTTGAAATTCTCAAATTTTGAATGCAATAGATTTATTCAAGACAAGCAGGAGGCACATAATGAATTCCTGTTTTCAAAAGGTTGATATTTTTCGATGTACCAGAAGTTCAGACCCCGTTTACACGAGACCGGTTCCAAAAAGGTCCGTATCAATTTGAGTTAACTTCCTCCTGTTCACACGGGACCGTCTCTTAAAAAGTTCACTTACGCTTTCTGTTCACACGAGACCTGAACTCAAGATCGTTTGTGAAAGAAAGCTCAAAACACTCGAGTCGAAGGCCCCTATTACCGTGACAACAAAAGTGAAAAGGCGCCAAATTCGCTTCGCTTTCCTTTATTTCTAAAGTTACTCCACCAGGTTTCTGTTCTCCCAGGCCTCGTCCAGAAAGCTCTTCTATTACTTTTCAATTCTTAGCTTGTGCAAAACGATCATGTCGTTTGGAGCTCTGCTAACGCAACCAACCTGTTTTGTCGAGTTCCATGAACCTTTGACATTAGGGTTGCAAACAAGAAACCACTGCTGACTGCTGCAGAAAGTGCACATAAAACTGACTTCACATTAAACGTTTTTTGAACGATTTTTTCATGATTAGAGCGTACTTGTTTCTTGGCAATTGTCACGATGATGCGTAAAAAGGGCGCCAAAGCGAACAAACGGAAAATGCTTCCTCCTTACGGTAGCGTACTCAAAAAGATCCAGTTTTGGGTGTTTACACGAGACCAAGTGAGACCGGCTCCAAATGAGTACGCTTTCGTAGGTGAACTCAAATGAGTACGGCTAGGTGGTTTCAAATTAGTACGGTAAGGCAAGTCTCGTGTAAACAGAACGCCTTAGTGAACTCAAATGGATACGG